ATTTGTAGATTTTTGAATTAAATCAGAGGTATACCTATGTCAAATAAAATGGACGAAATTATTGATAAACAAACGACATTGACTTGACAAGATTAGATTCAAGGTCGTCTAGTCTAGCTATCTACATACGATAAAAGTTGGGTTATGTAGCATTGGAACTAATTTCCAGAAAAGCTGAATAAAGCTATTTGATGAGAATGCAAAAACATTTTAAATTTATATTTATACAAACTTTTAAAACAAAGATACCAACACTATGACTAAACTTACCATTACAATTTCAGCCATTGCAAAATTTTGACCTCGATTATAATATTTGTTACAGTTTTCAACACAATCACCCAAATTAATCGATGTCCAGCGATATCAATTGTTTTCACTAAATCTGTCAAGTTAAGAACATGCACAGTACACCACAATGACACTTTTAAAGGTTTTGTTACAATTTCCTAAAAAACAACCACTTAAAATTATTACTATCAGCCATTCAACCCAAAATCCAGCATGACTGACTAATACGAAGTTAGTTACATTACGCCATCTTGTGACCAATATGAGAATCAAATATATGATTTCCGGCTGTCTTACAAATTGATGTTTGAATCCCAGCTATAATGGCATTATTCTCGTTCTGAGTTATGACTGATAGATGGAGCTTATGTAAACTTAGCTTACACAGTGCACACAAGCATGAGAAGTCCCAATAATAGGTAGGTAAATCATATTATTATTATTCTTATAAACATTTTTGACATGTGTACCTAATAAATGTTGGTCACCGAAATGTATTATTTACAATATTTCTTTGCCATCTTCTTTCATTCAATATTGTACCTACTAATATTTTTCTTCCACTTAAAAATAGTTCTTCATAGTACTATGACAACGAACAACATTCGTAAGAAAAAGTAATGTCCTAAAGTTATGTATTCATTTCACTTTTATATAAAATTAAATAATAACTTACTTACCTACACACTCATTTAGTAAAAATTTATTGAGGAAATATCAAAGTACCTTAGATAACTCACGCTATAAATATTTAATTCATCTGGGTTAATCCAAAGAGAATAAGTGTAAAAAATCTTCCTATCATTATTTTATTTCATATAAAATACAACTAGGAGTTAACTTAGAAAACGATATACCTACATTTCCGAATACCTACTAGAAACGAGATTGTCCTTTTTTTTTTTTTAAGGGGGGAAAATCATCGAATGGCTGCTCCCGCCTGGGTGAGGCGGAAGGGAGTGTCAGACTCTTACTGACTAAAAACCACCCCGTTCCTTCTCCTGCACGTCGAGCCGGAGCCCCGGTTACCCGTTAGGTTCTCCGCGACAACGAGATTGTCCTTATACTCCACCAGAGGCCGCTATCTATATACCTACCGCAACGCTACCAACTTGTTAATTAACAAACTACTTCCCCTATAGGTACCTACTTATTATACTCTGCAAACTTCTCTTCGATATTAGCACCACCACCATCATACATTTTCGTAACTGTAAAGTAAAATTTAAGGAATAAGGAAGGAATAGAATTTCCGAAATTGTGTCAATATTCCTCTCTAGTTACAAATTCTACTTACCCCATTTTTCAGTACCTACAAAAGATTTGTCGCTCTAACTCTGTGTCGTTGGATGTTAGTCATCTGTTCAAAGTATCGCTATATGCTCTCATATGCAGCCAAGCCCATTCGACTTTACGACAAACACTAGCGATGCGGTTATCTAGCAGATGTGTTTTCTTATATTGTTTAAAAAAACAGACTTTCCTTCATTTGAAGTCAGTTAATAATAGTGGGTGGGATTAGGCCAAACAAGTGCTTTGTTGTTTAGTATGTTTCTTATACATTCTGGAAAATATCTTTTTTGTGGAATAGAAATGTTTTATTTGAACTACTATCAATATTACGTAATTATAAAGGAAACACCCGTCGCAATAATAAATTAAAATACACTTAATAATCATACATTTATTATTCTGAATTTAATACTGTATTACATAGAAGAAATGCACTTCTTAGAAACATTCAGAAGACTTCCCTTTGGGACAGTTTTATATAAGGAGTACCTCTCCATAATATTTTATAAATTGGATAAATATGTCGCTCGTGATAATATAATCAATATTTATGAAGATCTGCATTGCCACATACTTAAAAATCTATGTATATTTTTCACCAACGCTCAATTTTCGAAACTAAATCCTTAAATAGTAAAGCATAAAAGTACGATTGCCTACGAGATATCTCTGTTGGATCAATAAAATTTTGCAAATTAACAACAAATAATATACTCTACAGTTAGTGCTTATACTGCCGCTGCCACATAATTTGTCAACAACATTTTCCATCACAATAAAGAAAACTAGAAATCAATGAACAAAACGAAATGAACATTAAATTTACTTCAATTCAAATTTATATCAATTCGGTGACCGCATAGAAAGGCATTGTGACACATATCCAACATAGTGAATACTCAATTTTTGAGAAAACACACAGCAAGAGAAGAAAATACTACCAATATAAATACAGACATCTTAATTCATTCAGTCAAAGTGGAACATGTATAAAATATTTATTAATAAGAAATAATCAGTCTTGTTTAGAGAAAACATTTTGTCAAAACGCGGTGAGCACACGCCTTGATATAAATATTATCACAATACAATATGTCAGATATGATGTCATCCCTTCTCTGGACGTAACTAGTATATAAATCGCCTGCTACGCTACTTAGTGTTATTATCACAGTTGTTTAGTAGAGGTGGGTGTAGTACTTTGTACATAATACAGGAGCTACCTGCGATACGCGACCATTCCGGACACGACACACGATGGCCAGTCTAATTTACGCACGCATAACTAGCATGGCCGTCCTACCGCCACCAATGACCTACTTCAGACACAATCTGATTAATAAATAGTAAAAAATAATAATAATAAACTAACGACGACTTCCCAGGCCAGCTAGCATTAAGATAATTATCATCTTTGAGACGAAATTACGCACATACATCCTTTCACGGCAGTCTTCTCTTAAAATGTACACAAATAACAAAGCAAGCCCGCATTTAACTCGTCACGAATGCGAAACTTACAAACACGTTGTTCACCCCTTATATCCGTTTATTAGACCCGTTGCTATTACATCGTATCTCTGAGATGTATCGTTAAAAAACGGGGGTTCTTACTAAAGATAATAACTTTTACGTCCCATTGAACTGGTTCATTTTCGTCACCTAAAGGTAAACGGAAAACTAAATTGAATAACAATAAATTATTAAATCTTACACCTATTATAATTATTACATATTTGTGAACGTCTTGCAAGCTTTGTTGTCACAAACATTCTCATGAAATTCGTTCAAATAGTCAAAAAATATATATTTTTGTCTAGGAAACACATTCCAGACTTTTGGAAGTGTTCTTATGCATTACAATTGACCAACGCAACGACAGGTTATATAGTAATGAAATATCACAGATTTTTCCAAATCTTTGGACAGTAACGGGCGTCTAAACAATACATATGATAATCGTTCAGTATAATTTGTACCTATTGACTTCCTTATTAATAGCCTTTAGAACCCGTGTACGTACAAAGAAATCCAGTAAGTAACTAGACGACTTATCTGAAACGATGAGATAAAAATAATCAAAAATAAGAACAAATCACTTATTTGGCTATGAAAGTAAACATTGTGGTTGATTATTTATCACGCACAAAATACTATCTTTCTAAGTTAAATGCATGTTATTTACACACTTCTACATTTTTGTGAATGGTAAAATGAGTTTTTTATTCAAAGCCCAACTTTGTCTTAGATCAAATTGACGCTGACTAATTAGTATCCCTAGGCATAATATTCAAGATTATAAAGATCTAATCTTTAATAAAAAAATAACATTGAAATCAGTGACTGAAATGTCATTGACATCACTTTACATAAGAAAAATATTCACAATTTTATCTGGCAATACAGATTGTTACTATGAAGTATATCAAAAGCATTTAATAACGCGTTTTTAAGTATTTAATTTTCTAATACTAAATTGTCCCAATATCAACTGGATTCAATCGTTTATAGTAAAAATAATTTATACAAAATATTTCAGATAATTTTCTGGCATATTTAAAAACCTTCCCCTAAAATTTTCAAACATCTTCTATATGTTTCGTGCATTTCGTACATCATACAGACACTTTAAAGAAAACGAAAGGCACCCGGGATTACACGAGTGGGTACCCACACCAACTACTCTAACAAATATTATAATGATTAAAATCTAATGTGGAACACCTTTTTTTTTCATAAGTTCCACTACACAATCATATTTTGGAAAAAGTAAGTTCTCTGTTGGTGGTGTATCAGTGATTGCTGTACTGTAACACTGTTCACAAAAATCTAACAAGTGGCTCTAAGTCACAATTTTAATTCATATCAAATTACCTATTTTCCGCATTTCACCATTTTTCGTGAGATTTCAGTTGTTTATTTATCAGGTCGCTCATCCAACCAACAGAGAATAATCTTATAAACCTAACACACATTTATTAACTTTAATTCAAATGGATCTGAAAGAGAATTCACAAATAGTTTTTTGTTGCTGTAAAGACAAAATTTATAATATGCTCTAAGGTAATCTAGTCGACAATGCAATTATTAACTTGTATATGGTAAGGATGTATAATATTGTCCACACATAGAAGTTAAAATAATTTTGTAAGCCTTCATTCAGATCTAAAAAAGATGAAATTAAAATATTATTGACATCAAAGAATCAACACCCCGCTAAGATATTAAGATTATTGACACATATATAGCTCAAGTACCAGAACTAGGACAACAAGAGAGCTTTATGGGAAATCTATTATGAACATCAATGTAACTATTATGTCGATAATGCTTTTATCGCCTTAAACTGGCGTACGACTTATATCCGGTTGTTTTTAGGTAGAGCTTTTAAGAGGCGGTGTGTCGTCAAAAATCAATTACTGCTGCACTGGAGCTGCGTAGAGCAATGGGCCTGGAGGCAGATGTGCATAAGGTCCGCTTACACCCACTGCAGCTTGGTAACCGCATGGTCCGCCACCTCCAACGCCTCCACCGTAAAATTTGCCACCTGTTGTATAAAAATCTTAACATTAAATAAAGCTACATTTCTTCAAAATTTATAAGATTCACTTACACTATAAAAAAACTATGAGTATCTAACTCAAATAGTGATTTTTACATACCTAGCATCTCCTGATGATGAGGATGCATCTGGGGGTAGTGCTGTGGCGTAGCGAAGTGGGGGGGTGGCGATCCATACGACGAGCCTGTACCATTGGTCTTATTACCAGCGTTGTTATTGCGGTACTGTTGTCCGCCATTGCGCATATCTAATTAAAATGTATGCAATTATTTAAATTGATTGTTGAAAAAAAAAAGAATCAATTTCGTTAATAAAACATAGAAAAGGTATCAATGAATTAATTTATTACTCACTATTATATGGGCGTTGTTGACCATATCCGTTTTGTCCATTGTATCCATTCTGGTAGCCATTATTGTAACCACCTTGGTAGTTGCCCATAGATTCAAATACATTAGGGCTTGGGAAGGGAACTTGTTTTTGTTGGTAGTTGTTCTGTCTGTAAGCTTGATTGCCTTGGTTTTGATTTGAGAATCGAGGAGCTTGTGGGTTGCCACCACGGTTTTGGTAAGTATTCTGGTTTTCTTCAGGGTTTGTATTAGCCATTTTGTTGCTCCACTGGTTATTCTGCTGTTGGCGAGGTGAACTCGCACCACTGTTGTTCTCTTTTCGTTGTTGCCAGCGATTGCGACCTGATGGTTAATATATATGAAAATGAATAAATTACATTTATATAGTACTTATATTATTCACGTTTTGTACACTCAAATTACCAGAGTTATTGTTGTTACTACGAGCCATTTCACTCAATTTAGGTGGTGGGTTCTGGCCAGTTTCACGCAATACTGCAAGTAAACCACGAGCTTGACGGGCATCACCAGGAGTGAAGTAAGTGTATGCTGTTCCAGATTGTTGGCAACGTCCAGTGCGACCTGAAATTTATTGAACAAGTTTGTTTGGTGAGAAATTTCTAGTTTGCACAACTAGACTCTCAGAATAAATTAGTGGGATGGTAAGAATTTGCTTACCAATCCTGTGAATATAATCTTCTGAGGAATTGGGGTAGTCGAAGTTGATGACAAACTTAACATCCTCAACATCAAGACCACGTGCTGCAACATCTGTGGCAATGAGTATACTAGTTGCACCATTTCTGAACTCGGTCAATACTGCATCACGCTCTATTTGAGATTTATCCCCGTGTATTGCCAGGGCATTATGTCCCTTGCGACGTACCGCACGAGCAATATCGTCCACCTGCAATCATATTATGTACTTAGCAAAAAATATCTTATCATGTAAGTTAAAGAAGTATTTAAAATAAAGACAAAAAAGAAACTTTACCTTCTTCTTAGTTTCAACAAAAACAATGACTTTGTTTTCTCTTTCTTGAGAAATCTCTTTTAACAAGTTGGTCAACTTCATTTCTTTTTCATGTTCTTCACAAACTTCAATTATTTGCTTGATGTTATTGTTAGCAGACAGATTCAATGAACCAATGTTTACTTTGACATAATCATTAAGGAAATCTTCAGCAAGAGCTTGTATTTCTTTGGGCCATGTAGCTGACCACATTAAGACTTGGCGATCTGGACGAATCTGTTCAATAATTTTACGAATTTGTGGTTCAAAACCCATATCCAGCATTCTGTCGGCTTCATCCAGAACTAAATAAGTGCATCGACGCAAATTTGTTGTACCACGTTCCAAGAAATCAATCAATCGGCCAGGTGTAGCAATTACAATTTCAACTCCTCGTTCCAAATCTCTAGCTTGGGGCCCCTTGGGCGATCCTCCAAAGAGGCATGTGTTTCTAATGCAACCCTGTGCACTGTAACTTTGAGCAACAGATTGAATTTGCTGAGCTAATTCCCTGGTAGGGGCAAGAATAAGAGCAATAGGGCCATCACCCCGCTGAATACGTTGTTGATGCACAATATGAACAGCAGCAGGTAGCATGTACGCAAGTGTTTTACCAGATCCAGTTGAAGCAATGCCAACCATATCACGGCCAGACAAAGCAATTGGCCAACCCTGAGCTTGTATACCAGTGGGTTCAGCCCAGCCTTGTTCCTTGATTGTGTTCAATATATGATCAGGGAAGTTACCTTCATCAAAAATTTGATTAGGGCGTGGAATGTTGTTACCACTGACAGTGATTTCCTTAGAAACGCGGAACTTTTGGACATCATCATCTGAACGACCTTCTACATTGACATGAGGCTTATAGAAATCCTTCTGAATTGGCTCAAGCTGGGATAAATCCCACATAGGTTTCACCAAGCTGTCTCCAGGATGCTTAGTCTTCTTACCCCGTTGCTTGCCATTAAAATCTATTTGTTGGTTCATGTTGTTGGGATTGAAAACCTTTTTAGGTCCAAAACTTTGCTGACCATTTTGATTGTTGAAATTTTTAGGGCCAAAGTTGTTTTTGGGAAAGCCTTGTTTTGGTCCCCCAAAATCATTTTTTCCATTGGCATAAAACTGCATATTTCCACCTGCAGCTTTATCAGCGTCATAATCATTTTTCTTTAAAGGTTGGTTGTTATAATTGTTCTTCATCTTATTAAAATCTTTTGGACCACCAAAATCACCTGGGTTGCCAACATTTTCATTTTTGTGGTATTCATTTCTCATTCCATTAAAGTCATTTCTGGGCCGAAAATTGGGTTTGTTTCCCATGTTCCTAGGTCCAAAATTTTTAGGCCCTCCAAAATCCATTCCATTAAAAAACGGTACTTTACCGAATTGTTCATTCCGGTCTGGTCGAGGTCTGAAACTGAAAGTTATTAAATACATGTTTTAAGAACCTACGTTAATTTACATCTCAATAAGTGAGATCAACACGAGTCTAACAACTGGTTGATTAATATTTGTGACAATAATCCAAACAATATTATAGTTTCAGATATTTTACACAGGGTTACATAATGAATGTCTTTCATCACACACCTAACAAGCACTTCTTCAACCCAGCAATTAACTTGCAATTTAAATATGAACTTTATATTATATGTATAACATATTTCATACTGTCAATGTAAAAAAGCTTTTTGTGGCAGGCTTGTATTAGTGTGTGATAAATAAAAAAATATTTATGTGTTTACAGCCTTAAAATCAAAATCAATACTCAATTGGACTTTCAGAAGGAAGAGAAATTGTATGGTACCACAGAAATATTAAAAAAGGAGAAGTGGCAAGAGGGCGTGTCAGTGACGCTCGCAAATGAGCGTTTCGCTCAATGTAGGAATATGTGGGCGTCACCGCGAATTAGTCTGTTGTCACCCGCGATCGTACAACAAACGATAAAATGCCGCCTTGTGCAGTGGTTTTGTGCAGAAATGTAAGCCAAAACAAAAACTGTAGTCATGGCATCCGTTACCATGGGTAAGAACAAATATTTACAATATTTTTCTTAAAAATTACGAAAAACAACAAGTTATTACTTTATTATTATTTTTTTATATTACTCCGACTGTATGTCTACATGAATACATTGCTCTTTTACAATCACCCAAGTGCGACACTGAGTCACTAAACCAGCAATGTAAAAGTGACTTAACGTAACGCTCATCAAGACGCGATGTCACATGGTGCGTCCGCTGCTCAGGTCCGTCGTCTTTGAGCGAGATAGTGATGTGGTCGTGGAGATTTATCAAAATCTATCGACAAGAAAGTCGACCACAAATAGTTACATTTGTTCACTTCTAATGGTTATAGTACCGTATTTTACTTTAATTTTCATAAATGAATATCTTCGTATGCATTATAATGATCAGCATCGCATAGTCACAATTTTGTACTCACAAAGCAGTCCCCAATGAATAACCACATAATATTATTAATAAAAGCAGTTATAGAAAAATATACAACATTAAAACTTCATTAATTAATCAAGAATGCGATACCTCCTTATCCAAATTATATCATTATAACTACATACAACTTGTCGTTTGATATGTAATTATTTTTTAAATAAAATATTTTTTCATAATAAACGATATTTTGTTGGTTACATGTTGTTTTACTTTCATTTCCAAACCTTTGTAATAAATTTATCGATATATTTACGGAACTATCGATATCGTCAAGTCACTAAGGCCGACGGTAGATGCCGCTCCTAACACACAGTGACAAACTCTTTTAGTGTGAGTGAATCATAGGAGAACGTGCGCTGTCGTTTAAATAATAAGGCTTATATTTGAATTACTGAGTTATCGATGCCGCGTGTGTGTACGTGTACTTATTCGTAGTATTGTTTTGTCAGAACTGTGTGTGTATTATATTAGTTTTATGGAGGGGCAGTTGTGGCTTCACCGGTTTTGCACACATGTTTGACTCCACACCATATCTCCTTCTTTTATATATCTGTGGTATTGACACTGGTAGTTTGAAACACCAATGTTTAAATGCCGTTTAGACAGAGGTGTACAAAATAAAAATCAAATAAATGTAAATTATACATATGTATATTGACATATCACATTCCAGTTGGAGATTTAGGTTGATGGTGAATAGATAATCTTGATTTTATAAATAGTTTAATTCTTTATGGTTATTAGACCATAACCTTAGATCTAACAAAGGGAAAGGCGGAAATGAACAGTTATTAAAATAGTAACACAGTAACACTAAAACTAAAAAAAAATAAATAAATAAATACACTTCACCTAATTTTCGTTTTTTAATTATCTTAATTAGTTTATTTACTATCTAGTTCTAATCATCAAATACCAACCAACCGACCAAGATAATAAAATAATGACAACTTAAAAGTGTATTTTTGAAACATCAACAAAAAGACAAATTATACCTTTTTTATACTTTAATTTTAATATTCTCTTAGATACCATAATGCCTAGTTCTTTGTCGGTCTTTGCTTGTAAATTATAATTTTCATACGAGGGTTGCCATTAGTGTAAAAAAGTAAATAACTACTGATGACGTAATCTTTATCTAGACTCCCCTACCCCCCCATATCATCCAAAATAATAAAACAGAGACCCCCATGGTGCTTACGTAATTCTTGCATGGCCTCTAGGTAACTTTTAGTTAAGAGATGGTTTAGGGGTTGGTGAAAATAAAAAGATCATAATGTTGTTTTCTATTATTTTAATAGAGTAGATCTTTTACGTTTGTAATTACATGACTCACAAGAAGAACTATTCACTGGATCTCGCTCCGCTAGTAATTTATTTTTTAATAGGTACTCCTCTAGTACTTGGGACTGAAGTTCAGTGGTCGAGATGACATCTAAGTTTGTAAATACTTCCCATATTTTCTAATCATACTAAGAAAATTAATAACCATTCATATAACAGTTTTGGGATATCATTAAAAGTTAACTTGTTAGTTAAACTTCGTTATTTAACTACCTTCGTCCATTGTTAAGACTAATATCATTGGCTTTAGTCCAGGAGTAAAGGTGTGTTGAAGTTGTGAACCTCATAAGAATGCTTAGAAAATGTAGAAGTTTTATATAAAAAGTGTAATATTATTACATATTTAGTCAAACTTGAAAATTTCCATCCTGTTTCTATCAATTTACATCCTGTATTTTAATGACTGTTCACTTCCACCTATCCATTTGTTCCACAAAAATGTTGGAACTTAATTATTGTTCTATAACACCGTAGAAGATTACGGTCTAATATCTATCCCCCTGTATAGCCAATAAGTGTGATTACCAAACTTACATACAATAATACCTAACTTTGATAATATCACAAATATCTGCCAGGTTTTTAACACAAAACCCAACATGGATGACAAAGTTATTACCTCCATAACATGATATTGATCCCATCTCCATAACTTGATATTAGTTTAGCAGCAAGGTGCTTTAGTTACAGTATTAATAGCTGCAGAAAAATTTTTTTGTATGGAGACTGGAGTAATATCAGAGTAGGTAGGTACACCAGGCCACACCCACCTCCCAGTTTTAAAGTGCCTATTACATAAGAGGTAGTACTATAATAGTATCTTTAGATTATGTGATTGTAAATTATTTGTTTTTTTGATAAATATTGAAATAACATAATAATGCTGCCAGTCATGTCTAACAGCAGAAGTGCCAAGTATTAGTATTGTTACACTAGTACTTACCATGATTGAAAAAAATGAAACAAAACCTACATATCCATCCATCCCACCCCCTCCTATGTACTTGTTAAGTGAAAGTACACATCATTTAATTTCCAAGTGTAAACTTACAAAGAGAATGTACCTATCTATATATTCAACAAACATTGTATTTCCAATAAGATTGTGTTGTTTATTTGTTTATTGATAAAACGTTGAATAATGCTAGTACGCCAACTCAACCAGATCCATTTCGATATCTAAATAATTATTTCTTTGATAAGTAGGTAGACTAACAGTACATACACAGGTAGAGTGAAATTATACTAATGTGGTTCGGCCTTGAAACAATATTACAATATACGGTCAAAGTTACCAATAAGAATGTTGATTTAAAAATTTGATCAGATATATTTCAGTCTTGGATGCAAAAAATTTATTTATGTTCACATCACATGCGAATTTATTTCGAAACAACGCCTCGTGAACAAGGCGAAATTTATTACCTCTAGGTACACAGCATATGAGAAATGAGAATTCATAATTTTATCAATCAGATGCAAGCGTTTGATAATGAAACGTTTTAACAATCTAATGAGGTAAAATCTAGAAGGAAAGTAGATATTTCTGGAAAACGAGAGTATTGATTTTTCATGTGGGTTGCGTTCATTATCAGCTGAGCAGAATAAATGCACTTCACAAAATGGCCGCCCATGATAGGTATGGGTAGACCCGATCAATAATGTGCGAATTTTTTTTCATAGGGGTGTAACTATAATAATAAGACGGATACTTACATCGGATGCTGGTTGTGGAATCCGTTGTACTGCATGTTGCCGCTTTTGGATTCTAACTCTGATCTTAAGAGGTGGTGATCGCTTGAGTGGGTATCTGGAACAAGGTGACGATATTCACAGAATTTAAGTAAAATACAACAAATATGAAATCTGAAGCCTAAATATCATTTTCACAAGATACTGACCTCTCGTTTAGAGAGAATTTGAAATTATTATTTTTTATTCATTCACTAGCGACCTTTCTCAGACCCGGCGAACGAACAACTCGATAATGGCTGCCAACCGGAAACGGAATCTGGCCCAATTCAGTATTGCCAGTTAAAAGTAGTCTAAACTACCAAATTTCAAGGATTTCCGGTAGGATTCGACTAACTAACTTTGGGTTTATTCAGAGAGAATCGTTAATATTACATCTATGGAGACAATTAACACAAAAATTGTGTTATTAGATTATTACTATTGATTAAATATACCTTAACTACCCAATTTTAAAATTATAAAAACAAATATATAGCTAACTAGCTGTGCCCGCGACTTCGTTCGCGTGGAATAGTGACTATGAGCAGCGTGTTTTTTTAAATATATACTTATTTTTATTTTGGATCATAATCACAGTCATTTTGGGTAGCTAAAAAACCTACTTTACTGTAATGCTTCTCTACATACAATATTAGACGTATGGCCATCGGGGGTGAAAGCATACAGGCTCCTGGGATTGCTAACACGGGACAGAGCCACATACAATTGACCGTGCGAAAAACAGCTGATACTTAGATCTACACCCACAACTTTTAGAGTCAGACCTTGAGCTTTATTAATTGTCATGGCGAAACATAGGCTCACTGGAAACTGAATTCCTTTAAAACTAAACGGAAAATTGTTTGGAATGAGAGGAATCCGAGGAATAAAAACACTATCACCTTTTCCGCATCCAGTTAAAATCTTTGCTTCTATCAGATTTCGTTGTAAATTTGTTACTTTTAATCTAGTACCGTTGCAAAACCCATAGATCCCCAAGCGGTCACCGGTGACCGCTCTCCACTAATATTACATTACATTATAGACCTTATTTCCAATGTTTAGAGATTTCTTTTGTATGACCTTTAGGGGATGGATTTCAAATGTCAACCAAATCCGTCAAATAGTTGCGGAGATTAATGGTGCCCATGTATGTATAAGCATACAATAGTGTTCGACGTGATTCTTTAATTTGACATAACTTTTTTATTTATGAACCGATTGACATGATACAAACACTAAAGCACAACTGAAGCATACCACAATATATTCCTGGAAACCGCATCCAACTCGGATAAGCCGTTTCTGAGATTAGCGTGAACAGACAAACAGACAAAAAAAGTTAATTACATTTTTGGGTTCGACATGACATCACAATAACCCCTGCTATTTTTTTAATTTTTAGTTTCAATGTACAAACAGCACTTTTCTACAATTTTATTATATGTATAGATATAGATATTGTGCTAAAACGATTTTAACTAAGGTCGTAAACCAAAATTACTACTGCTTCTAATCATCATCATCAAATTAAAAATAAATTATAATATAAAAACGTTTTTATATAAATTAATAATGAATATTATAATTTTTATTTATCCAACCGATCTCACTAACGTAACGTCAATCAGCAATAGCAACCGTTTCCCACGTTCAATGCTGTGTAGATCAACACTTTGGCATCTGGCACTATACGCAGAACATAAAACCATTGACCAGAAGGACACCTGTCATTTTCTTAAGTCAGAGGGCTTAGTACAAGTTTGTTTTACGTTTAAAGTAATCGAAACGAGTGCGCGTTCGTCGCTCTCATTGGCTGGCTCCATTGAACCTACCAATGAGAGTGCCGAACGCGGTCTTGTTTGGACTAATTTAAACGTAAAACCGTAAAACAAACTCGTACTAAACCCTCTGATTGGTTGATTTATTATAGACGGCCAATGGTCAACTACCATATTGTAAATTAATACGTAGATAGAAATCGTATTGTTAGAAGCATAGACGAAAAGAAACCAAACGTCATCAAGTAGCGGGAAAATGTAATCTGTGGTCAATGAAAAAGTCAAGATGGCGGGAACTCGGAACTTCGGAAGTTATTGAGACGGCATATGTATTTAGTGTTGAGGGAATTTTAATATATTTGAAACTCAATCAAAAACAACTCAAAGAAAAACAACAACAACAACTCATAAATAGGCAAATTTATGAGTTGTTGTTGTTGTTTTTCTTTCCAATGAGGTTGGCAACTGTCAAAGTGGCGCTGTTATAGCTAGTGCCCAAAACATTGCATTTCTCTTCGTTAAAAATAAGAAAAATATTTGTTCTATCAAAATGACTCGTTGTATCGTATTGAAATGCTCGGAAATAGGACTTTGGTTAAAAGCCATTCGCCGTGAAGATTTAATTCCAACAAATAATTCGAGGTTATGTCGGAAACATTTTGTGGAAAATGATTACGAAAAAATCAGCAAATACACAGATAACCTGCTTGCCAACAATTTCTTGTACTAACTATTAATAAGTATAAACATCTTACGATGACAATAAGATAGTTAGTTTAATTAGTGCTGTATTAAGACGTTAATAACATTCCTAAGTTTTTGTTACAGGAGTTGAACACCAGTACAAATATCTCAAGAAAAGTGGTGTACCATCTGTCTTTGCATGGCATACACAACCAATTTCGGAGAAGGCAAAGGCAAGACAAGATAGATGTAAAGCCCGTAACCTTAAAAAGAAACAGCTTTTTGATATTATCTTTTAGTGTTACTGTTAATATCCCGATAGGTTTCACTTAACGGTAACTACATCTTAGGATCTTCATTATCAGTCTTGTCAGGACGGTCAAAATTAAAGTTTTGGTCATATAACTCCAACTTAAAATATAAATTAGTTTAAGTACAAGGTTTTTACAGTTTCATTATAATTAACAAGAAATTATCACTTAAAGTGATACTAAATTTAAAAACAGTTAATCTCCGATGAATGTACATGGTAAGACAAGTAAAATAAATGAAATAAGATAGACAAAATATATACCTTTCAACAAGATCTGCTTTCTTTCCACGTAAGGAAGCACCACGCTTTCGGAGCTCATCTTTCAGTTCCTTGATCCGCCAGTTGGAATACATGACGTTTCGATAATAAACTACAAGTGATCACAATTGCACGGTTGTCTTCAAGTCACAAAAGGGCAAATAAACTCAAACTCTTTATTTGCATGTTAAGGTAATACATACAGGTCTAAATAAATAAATAAACAGTTCGTAAATTTGTAAACAAAATGTGACAGAACAATGACCGCCAATACAAAAGAACTATCTAAGCTGGCGCCATCTGTGCTAAGCTTTGACCGGCCAACCTCATTAATAGTTATGGTTTAGCTAGTTCTGAATTTGTAATTTGATTTCGATTTTAACAATGGTGAATTGTAATGGTAGTACTAAAATCCAATGTGGTTTAAAACCAATAAGTTCCTAATATCAAAGACTAAGGTGAACTCTATGACAGTTAGTAGTAAGTTTTTATCTAACATCGTAGGTATTGGAGACTCGGTTGCCAATAGTCTTATCATATCAGTAGTTGCCAAAAAAGAAAAAAAAATCTATGGTATAAAAAATGGTGAAAAAATCTATGGCTTAAATTCTGTTCTGTCAGTGTAGACAATAAATGAATGTCATCAAAAAGAACCCTGATGTCATTTTCGTATTTCGTTGATTATCGAATTGATTTGTGAACCGCAATGACCAAGTGTACGTACAAAAGTCAGTAAAACGCAAAAATGCTATTTTTCTCAACGTATAAAGAGGTGCCTATATAAATATCCTTATTTATTGTAATATCAACATTATAATTAAAATTTTGGTTTATTGGGAATTGCTTTATGAGAAGTAAATTGTCAAGATTCATCCAAATGTTTGAGATAATAAGAAAATAATTAAATAGTGACTTGTTAACACTACTTTACACTACACATTTAATTTGATTAGTTATTGCAAGTAATACTGAAGGATCGCCAGTATGGATCAAGTTGTACTTGTTGAATTTGAGGATGCTACTGATAATTTGTATCCAGCTTTATTCCAGTGTTTTACTATAATTTTATGCGGGTAAGATTTTTATATTTGTATTAATTAAAAAAATATATATAATTGAAAATACTTTTTGTATTTAATTGTTTCTTGTGCTTTTAGAAAATCAAATATTTTTACGCAATATTTTTCCGATGTAATAAATATAGTTAATTTAATTGATTACAACTACTAGGCTACTACTACGCAACTACTTGCTTTACACCAATATCAATATCTTTTTATATTGTTTTTTTTCAATTACTTGTAAAATCAGAGAGCTTGCTGTAATTGAAGTTTATTCAAGCATGATATAAGGCATATGTTTATTTACCTAAAGATGTAACTATTTAGTGCCTACTATGTTCTTTTAAATTATTAGAGATAGATACTAAAATATTATTTGTCATTGGTAATATTTTCAATTATTGAGACATACCTATTGTCCAAGACTGAGAGTATACTACTTACCTAATACCTATATTTATTTTATTGCAGATAATTTATTTACATTTATTCATTTTTTAGGTACATAGCTGGACGTCTTAATGTAGTGTCAGCAACAGAATCTAAGGGCATTGCCACATTTGTGGGCACTTTTGCATTGCCATCTCTTATCTTTCTGTCACTTGCCCAATTGGACTTCAGTACAGTTAATTGGACCTTTCTTGGTGCAATACTACTTGCAAAGGGTTTAGTATTCTTTGCAGTAATGATTGTTACTATGCTGGTCTCCAAACCCTTGAATTTGGGAAGAGCAGGAATATTTGCTATATTTTGCACACAAAGCAATGACTTTGCGTTGGGATATCCCATCAGTAAGTATTTTTATTTGATCTATATTTTTTTATTACTGCAATAGTCCTCATTTCTTTACAGAATTATGTTGGCATGGGGTACAGCCTAAGAAAGAGGCTCAAATAAATATGCATTTATCTGCTTAAACAATATTTATAAATTCTGACTGTCAAGGTTAATTAAAACAAGTAGTAATTTAAATTTTTAGATTACACAATATTATACATGTGATTCTATAATACATATATCACAGTGTGATAAAATGAAATATAAATGGACTCAATGTCACTATCCGTTTACTTGTTACTATTTTTTTTTTATACAGGTATTTTAAGTTTTTTGTAGAATTACAGTTTTTTTTACATACTATCAGAAGATTTAGATCAAGTAATAATAGAAATCATTTGTATTTAGCTTACTGACAGTCATAAACTTGAGGAAATTCTTATAACCACCTTTTGTGCCCTATATTAAAGTATAGGAAGAGCCACTTGCATTTTTAAATCTCATGTTGTGGTTGTGTCTTTTTTATTACTATGCCAAGCACAATTTGAGTATTCATACATGCTATTGTGAATTCTAAAATTAAAAATGTTAAAACCATTTTCTACTAGGATCTCAAACCGAAATAAAATCCTTCGGCAATCGCGGTAAATCGGCATTTGCGACCAATAGATCAAGGGCTACTGAAGTGTAATAATTGTTTTTGAATGTAATGTATTTCGACATAAAACTTTTCTTTTCAGTAAATGCATTATACCAAAAAAGTCATCCGGAATACGCTCTCTACTTGTATCTGATGGCTCCAATTTCACTGGCAATATTGAATCCAATTGCTTTTGTATTAATGGAGATAAATAAGCAAAGAGAACAAACACCAGCTATAACTATAGAAGGTGAATCAACATGGTGTATTTGTAGTAGGAAGTTGTTGAAGCAGATTGCTAAAGGCATAGCTTTCAATCCTGTAGTTGTGATGACAGTGTTGGGTATTTTTGGTAATGCTGCATTTAAACACCAACTCTCTATTTACATTGAAGGACTTTTGGAGGTATGTTTATAGTGTAGCTTTATCTATCCTTTAAATAAGATTAGCTTTTTATTTTCATATTTTTTAATTGAATCTTTAAAAAATTTGCATCTATCTATATCACAACTTCACAGTGTTAGCTAAGTCTGATGTTGTATAGTGATAATGTCAATTTATTACAGGTATTTGGCCAATCATTTGCTGCAACTGCCCTATTCTTGCTAGGGTTACGCATGGTGGGACAGATTCACAGACTGAGAGGACCTGCCCTCCTGTTGCCCTGTGTTCTGATTATGGTTAAATTGTAAGTATAAAATTTTAAAAATTAGATATGATCCCTTTTTCCCTGTCAGCCTTCTACAATCAGTAGTAGTATTTCAACTTTTAATTGTCTGGTTGTCAGTCAATAATGAAAAACTTTTCTATAAACGGACTTGTAGATTATTGATCATGCTATCACAGCATGCTTAGCGTCAGCCGTGTAAGCTTGATGAATAAATAAATAAATAAAGAAATAAACAAAAAAGCTTTTAATAGCACCTCATAAAAACTGGTTGACAAGATAAACAGGATCAACAAAACAATTTTCTAGAATCTTACATTAATTCGTTATTATGTAGGAGGTATAACAATTTAAAATCATCTGAATTAAATTTAATAGTTACTTATAAATACATACAAATGATGTGGTGGTGGCCCGGTGGTTTAAGGCGCCCACTTCTCATGCATGAGGGTGCGGGTTCGAAACCTACCAACGGCAAGTACCAATGTGACTTTTTCCGAGTTATATGTACTTTCTAAGATTATTATTAGACACCACTGACAAACGGTGAAGGAAAAACATCGTGAGGAAACCTGGACTTATAATTTCTAATTATAAGTTTGAAATCGCCAACCCGCATTGAGCAAGCGTGGTGATTAATGCTCTAACCTTCTCCGTGTGAGAAGAGGCTTTGCCCAGCAGTGGGCATTTATAGGCTGTTGATGATGACATACAAATGATGATAAACCTTTTATAAACAGTTGCACTTTATGTATGTTGAGTTAGTATTGAGTGATTCATGTTTTCAATGTGTTTATTATTTGTCTGCCAGTGATTATTATATATTTTAAATATTCAACTTATGCGTATCATAAAGCAGATATATAAATCAATCTTTTATATTTCTATTTATCACTAGGTAACCCAGCAACCTACATACCACCTCAAAATTTTTTTCTCATTTTTAAACAAGACAGAATTAGCCGAATTGATTGAGTCATCTTTATTGTTCGTCGATTTACGCAGAGCAATTAATTTTACAGTACAGAACGGTAGGTAGGTATATATAGAAATAGATATCTATCCCTATTTTATGAGGTATATGTCAATCTATATGATCAGGTTCGTAAAAATAGAATACACATTATTTTCTATCAAATATGTACCATTGTACTTAATTGTACCATAGTATCTGTATTTCAAATAAAGTTATAAAATAGGCATTAAACCTATTTTATACGTAGGCTTTTCCGCTGTTTAGATAAGAGATTAATAAAATATCTACACTCTCTAATGATAGATTATTTTATCTAAGCCGCGCATTATAAGTGGAAATTAATAAAAACGACATGCTATGGTAATGGGTAAACATAGTGGGCAGTTATTATTACGAAAAAGTAGATTTTTATAAGAAACTGACTCTTTACAGCTTTAACTGTGACATGAATTCATGAATGATTTATCCAGGAATATCCCGTATGTGGAATGTGGATATTAACTTATACACCCTAATAGTACTTATACTTCCTGAAGTGAATGATTCAAAGCCAAAGCATTTATTTCAATTAAACCATATGTTGGTACTTTGAAACGTCAACAAATTCAAAATAAATAATAGTCTGTCAGTCAGTCCGTCAGTGAAGCTAGGTGAAGTTAGGTGAAGCTAGTTGCTCATTCCAAAATGTAGATTCGAATAGAGAAGAACGAGCAAGAAACTCCATTTGTTACTCTTTAAAAAAAAGTGTGTTTTACAATGTTTCTGATACATATTCCATTCCAACACTGTACGTATATGTGAGAACAATGCAAAGACACTCTTGACGCGACGATTAGTTTAGGAGATTTTTTCTTCTAGTTCTTCCAAGTTGCTTGGGATCAAAGTCAAAGCATTTATTTTGAAACGTCAGATTTAATTGTTAGTGAAGCTAGGTGCTCGTTCCAAAGAGTAGTTACGAATGGAGAAGAGCGAACAAGAAACACCATCAGTACTCTTTTGAAATAAAAAAAATGTTTTTCTTTATATCCTACTAGCTTCTGCCCGCGACTTCGTACGCGCAATCCCATTTTCCCCCCGTTCCCGTTTGTGATTTTCGGTAAAAAGTAAAAAAAAGTATTGTATAAAAAGTATCCTATGTCCGTCTCCCTGGTTCTAAGCTACCTCTCTGCCAATTTTCATCTAAATCGATTGAGGCGTTCTTGAGTTATAAATAGTGTAACTAACACGACTTTCTTTTATATATATAGATCACTAAGTACTTTCTCTTTTATGAAGTCACTATTTATAAGAAATATCATCTATCCATCTTTTCTTTACAGTCTTCTCATATCTAAACCTACAATTGATTGTCAAGGTCAAGTTCACACGATTTATTTTCTATGAATTATATTAATCATGCATTTACATAATATATTATTTTTAGGTATCGTAAGTAGGCAGTTTTTTTATAAGTGGTTTAAAAGCTGTATGACTAATCTCATTAATAGATTTAGGTGTTATCTGTTCTAATAATAATTTAATTATTATACTCGTCTGTCAACATTTTAATATTTAAGTTAGCTTTACTTCTGTGGCTTTGCCCGCCTAGAATTAAAAAGATTCTCGAGTAGTGCCGATTCTATTGGAATACAGGATTAAAAAGTAGCCTGTGTTAGGTACTTACTTCCTGAAGAGTAAGTTGTTCAAAAGTATAAGAATTTTTCAAATTGGTTCAACAGTTTTGGGGCATATTTAAAACAAGTTATCTATACCTCTTTTTAATCAAGTACTAGCTTCTCCCGCGCGGAGCCCGTACTGCTCGGCTCCTATTGATCGCAGCGCGATGTTTTATAGCCTATAGTATAGCCTTCCTCGATGAATAGACTATCAAACACAAAAATATATTTTCAAATCGTACCAGTAGTACCGGGGGTATGCGCGTTCAAACAAACCAACAATCAAATAAACTCTTCAGCTTTATATAATACAAATACAAAAATTATACAAAAACCCACATGGGTTTTTGTATAATTTTTAAATTGAATGCTGGTGCCAGTATAGTTGCATACATATGCAACTATACTGGCACCAGCATTCAATTTAAAAACGTCAGAATAATTTATGAAATATGATCCTTTTGGAATCCTGCACTAATCCATATTAAATACATAAATAAACTTATTTAAGACTTAATTGTTATGTATAATAGTTCCGTAATACGTATGTCACAGGTAAAAATAATATATCTAAAATAGATTTCAAGTGTTTTGTTTGATGTTGTTGTTTTTATGGCATAAACCGGTTAACGAGCAGACGAATCGCCTGATGGTAAGCAATCGGCGTCGCCCATGGACACCTGGAACACCAGAGGCGTTACAAGTGCGTTACCGGCCTTTTGGGGATTAGAACTTTGAGAATTGTTGGGGATTCGGGTATTGGGGAGATTAGGGAAGGTAAATAAATTGGGCCTCCGGTAACCTCACTCACACGACGAAACACAACGCAAGCGTTGCTTCACGTCGGTTTTCTGTGTGGCCGTAGTATCACTCCGGTCGAGCCGGCCCATTCGTGCCAAAGCATGGCTCTCCCACACTTAATGTTGTCAATACATTTTAGCTTAATTCCAATTTTCGCTGCTTTTTGCAATCACAAGAGAAATAATCATCAATTTTGTTGCAGAATTGTCCTGCCAGTGGTTATGAGGGAGAGTGTAAGCGCGCTGAACGCTGGTGTAAATGAATCTGAAACTTTATCACTCTCTACGTACGCGTTCCTATATGGAACAATACCGACCGCGCCGGCAGTGTTCGTATTCTCGAACTTATATCAACTAGAAATCGACTTGGTAAGTTTCCTTACTTTTCAATTAAAGTAGTACATTTTTTAATCGATCGCATGCGTATTGCCTTGTCTAATCACAAATGTATTGTACGTGTATCAGCTTGTGTACAGCTTAATCGATTAGCCATTCGATTAGATCTGTTAGTACCTAATATGATTTTTTTTTCGGATTGGGAAAGCTTATTGAATTTATCTTAGACGTGACTAATTGTTAGATATTGTTATCATGACGGGTTTTCCACGTGGTTTCCTATCTGTGTCACTAAACAAACCCGTTCAACCGTTATACTGTGAATAATAAGTAGACTTTGTAGAAATTCAATACATAATAATACTTACGTCCATGTTAATGTAAAAATATTTTTAAGTTCATTCACAGACGCTTGTTATCTCTCGATAACTGCATAATTTGTATTTTTTATGCCTTAATTAATTCTTAAATATGTTAAACATGTGTAATACATAACGGATAAAATATTATTAATAGATTTTAAAGTGATCATTGAAATAATATATTTTTTGTTGTTTTTCATAATATATATGTAGATGATTGATGGGTCAAATTAGTTTCCTGCCTATTAGATGAAACCGACTGATAAAACGCAATAAATTAGGGCTATTTTGAGACATCAAAAACTTCACACAAACACCACGATACATTGAGTTGTAAATATTACATGATATTTAAGAAAGATTATTAAGAACGGCTAGAATCGTGATGACGTCACGTCCCCAGCAACTTTTAATACTGAGACTAGACGTAGGTAGTGAGCTACCACGCAACATTGCTTTATTTCAAGTTATTTTCTTTTTTTTAACAAAACTGGAAATAAATTGGTATCTAATAGGTATTAAGGAGAGACTCAAAAATATTGTATTGGTTCTAATGAAGTTTTAATCAATCTATCTCTGTCTAGACTTTGGACTAGACGTAGAAAAATCCCACCTCACAATATTCATTATCATCAGCCCGTATTCGTCTACTGCTGGACATAGGCCTCTCAACTGCCAGCCACCTTGCGGATGTCGTCACTCCACCAAGCTGGACGGCGCCCTACACTGCGTTTGCCTAAACGCTGTCTCCACTCTAGAACACGATTACCCCAACGGTTATCGGTTCTTCGACAAATGTGACCGACCACTTCAGCTTACTGATCCTTTGGGCTATGTCGATAACTTTGGTTCTCTGTCGGATCAAAAGTGTCAAATTCTGGGGATAGCGATAGACCCACCAGGTATTACAAAAGCACTTTAAGTTAACATGTTCCCAGAGACATATTTTCCCTAAAGTAAACAAGGCAAGCGCCTAGGGCGCCAGGTTACATAGGGGCGCTGCGAGACGCGCGTACCAACTGTCCATAGATTGGCGGCGGCGCCAAAAACATTAGGGGCGCCTATGAGGCGCTTACCTAGGGCGCTCTTTAAGTTTAATCCGCCTCTACATGTTACCTTAGTACCTAGAATGTAGGAAACATACTATTGAGGTCCTTACCTCACACATATATCAAATATTACTTGTTTCAGATGGCGTCCTCAATGGTGATATGCACATTCCTGTCAGCGCCCATGATGTTTATGTCGGCACAAATGATAGCTATTAACAAGGACTTTGCAGACCAACTGAAGAAGTTTGGCTTCGACCTTTCTATAGTATCATTGATTGCTTCACTTTGGATACTGTTTGTTTTCATTGTGACTAAGAAATATAAACGGATGCCGCATCGACTGACTCTGTGCTTGATTGTGTCGCAGGTAAGAATTTCATTCTTGTTTTTGTTATTACTTAAATGCGCTGCTTATGAGAGTGACTTTTCCTTGTATAGAATATTTGTAAACGCTAATACGATAATTGGTTCTGCACATAAATTGAGCCATTTTTTTTTAAATATTGTCGTCAAAATATCCTCATGTAGGCAAATGAAGGAATCTGTCCTGTCGTATTTTTTTTCGACCTCCGAGTTAGGAACTTATCAATCAGGCTTTGTTCTACTAACTTTATTTAACAAATAATAATGTTTTATAAGTAGCACTTTTGTATACAAAATTCTAAGCTTGATAGGGTCAGCATTATCTAACTTATTTGAGAAGAAACCCTGAAAGAATACCGGTATTTATCCCACAAGATTGTTTTGATGTTTCTTTGCTACGCACATTCTACTGCAAATAATATTTGTGTAAAATACTTACATTTTATATATTTTGCAGCTACTGTTGGCTATCAGTGTAGTATGGGGCGGGCCCCTTACTAACTACACTCCGTCCTGGCATGCGAGCGTGCAGCAAGCTCTGCGAATATTCAGCATGTACTCCTGTCTACTGTGGACCTCTATGCTTTCTGTTGGACTTCTCATGTTACAGGTACATTTACTACAAAATGCTATTGACCTTCATAATAACGTGATCAATAACATATGCATCTGCAATGTAAAACACCAAAAGGCCAGAGGTGGTCACATTAGTAATATTAATTTAAAGGATTCGATTATTGCCATACCGATTCAAATCAGAATTTCTAAAATAGAAAGCTCAGTTATAGTCATCGTGATCGTATCAGCCAGAAGACGCCAACTGCTGAACTTAGGACTTCCCCAATCACTTCTAGAGCGCCCGGTTGGAAGTGACCTACTGTATCCAGTCATTATCAGGGAACTTACTCACTATCAGCATCAAACCCAAACAACCATTAGTCATAAAATACCATAAACAGTGCATATTCGATTCAGAACCAACGCCAATCAATATTAGTAGTACCTATATGTAGTAGTGGATAAGCCATTTAGATATAATATCATTAAAAGCTACGATCTATTGCTAGATATAAGTACGTGTTGATCGGATAAGCTCGTTACTACGACCTTGCATTACAATAGTTGTAGGTGTGGAAAAGTGGAAAGTAGTAGATAGGCAACTATGTATTATAGTTTCAAGAATTGTATTGTAGTAGATAGCATAGCGAACCCACTTTCTTTTATGGTTTAATAGCTACTACGTAAGTAACAACTGTCTTCTAAACAAGCAATGTTACTTTGTGAAAAATTTCGTGTGCCTTGAGTACAAAGTACAAACCCACCAAACACTCCAGGTGTATAGTAAATTAATATGTGTATTCGGTGTATTAAAAATGAATTGTCAAGTAAGAACCATTGTATAGAACCGTAAATTTTTATTAATAATATAGACCAAAGTTATTGACATTAACAGATTTACAACTGTTGTACCAATGTCATTAAAAACTTACTCCCGAATGATGAAAGGCTACTCAATTTTAAGTGACGCTTAGATAGTTATAATCCTGTCTCTACTAATTCTTTGCAAAACGACAGAGATGGCGCGATATTTTTCATTATAACATTCGTTTTTAATTAGTTAATGTCTTTATTTCAGAGCCGTGGACCATGTTTCGTGGTGACACTGTGGCCGGTGTTAGGCTTTGTGGCATGGGGTGCGCCTGTGGTAATGGTCGTGGTGCTACTAGCGACTAAGGGCACCGGAGACTTGGACTGCAAGGCCACTGATGCGATACGACTCTGTTTACTTGTGTTCTGTATTACAGGTAGGTGTTAGCATGTATAGAAATCCAGAATAACATAGTTATTTTAAAGTTCAAATTCGTTGAATACAAACATATCTCATACATTTATTTATTTTAATTAAAAAGTACTTAAAGCGGGAATACATAATTCAAGACAATGAGGAAATTATTACTTTAAACATTTTAATAATTCCCAAACACAATATTTCTATTGTCAGTCATTTATCTACGCGATTTCTAATAACTCTAGTGCAAAGTCGTGTCAAGGTTGTCATGTATTGTGTAGTAAATATTGTTAAAGTAAATTTCGAAACTATCAAGTCTGTGAAAGTTGCTTGCATCTTTTTACCGATCAGTAAATAATTTATTTTCTTTAGAAGCCTGAATTAGATATTTTTGATTCATACCATCGATTAAGGTCTTTCAAAGGAATATCTAGGTCGAAATTGGTTCATCCGTTTGCTTGCTCCAATGCCATATATCACACTTACAAAATTCATATGTTTTGTGTTTAAAACTAATACACTGTGTCTCGTTGGTTAATATGAAACTGTAGTCAAAATAAATCAACTATGTATAATTGAAATTATTGTTTTATCACAGTAACCATCGGCTGTTTAATCCTGTACATAAGATTCCGACGTCGCAGCGCACAGTTTGCGTCGCTCTCCGCCGAAATAGCCACTAACTCCAGTCCTCAGGAAGAGTCCACCAGTTTGATTGATAATGCAGAACCTGTCTCGCAAACACAGTCTATTGCCAATAATAGCAATGGTAATTATTCTAAGTATATCTTATTTTCACATTTTTCTTACTGTAAAAATTTTGAATTCAATAGGCTGCGGCAAGAATCTTAACGTGGCCGCCGTGTTGGTGATCCGCTTATTTGTCATAAAAAATGAACGAATAATAGAAAGAGATAACCCGTATTACATGGGACTTATAACGTAAATAGTGAAAAGTGGGTGTTAAATTGTATAGTGGATTAGGTGCCGTAATGTGCACCTTTGCGTTAAGCAAATTATGCGGCCTTCGGGGGTAAAAGGCGTGATGTTATGTAATAGACATGCAGATAAAATACGTTTAGTCTTATTTACATTATATACAGACGTTTATTGATATATCTATCCATTCGAAAAAATCTTAACAATACCATAATCGACTATTTATATTTCATACAATAATGAACACAATGTTTCTAGGTTGTTACGGAACCATTACATCGTCTCCATCACCGCGCAGTCCAGGCAAGCAGTCAGGGTGCTGTTCCGACGATCCCAACTGTGAGAACGGATTGACTGCTTCACGCGACATTGAAGATATTGCTGATACCAAGTAAGTAGGTTGAATTAGTTGCTTATGGGACGACGTGCCCCATTGTAGACCGCATCATCGCTTACCACCAGGCGAGTAGTGGTGAAACGTCGGTCCATTAAATATAAAAAACGAAAATAGAGAGATGTGAGAAGATCGTGGAATATGGGTAGATTTATGGCTGAGGGGAATAAAAGAAAAAAATATTTGCGTTGACCCCCAAAAAGCTTTGTATAAATTATATTAGGTAGAAGAAGTTTTGTTCTTTGTTTTCGTTATATACAACGAGAACCCACAGGATTAAGTTAAAACATCAACAGCCTATGGGAGTTTACTTCTTCTACAAAACAGTGGTTTGTCATAATCTCAATACATGGCAAGTGGGTTGAAGATGGGCGATCTTAACATGGCACATGAAAAGACTTTTAAAAGGTTTATCAAAACACCGGCAGCATTTAGCCGGCTTTTACAATACGTGAGAAAAGATAAATGTGTTCTACTCAGCCTTCATTACGTAACACACGGTTAGTGTCACTGAATAAAAATAAACATCGCTATCGTTTGCCTTTATTCCCAGGGATTGTGCCTGCCCACCATCTCAGAAGCACCGTTGCACGGAGCCAGGGGCGTGTCAGTACTTGAACGAGCTGGAGCGGGCCGCCGGTGCACTGGGACTATTACCGCCCGAGCAGACACGCGGCCGCGGCGGACAACTACTCAAACATACTGTGCTGATCATTGTGTACAGTCTCAGCATGTTTATTGTGAGTATCTACATCATCATTATTTTAGCCCTAGTTCCTCCACTACGGGGATTTAACCTTTCCTGTACTTCTTCTGTTTATGACTAAATACTACTTTAGAACTCTGTGCAACATCTTTCCTTGCATATTCCTTCCTTACATTCTTTTTAAGACTTCTACCAGTACATTACAAGTCAGTATTAATGCAATAACAATCCTCTTTAGATCTTATATAATAACTAATAAACAATACCTATGTATTTTATTCTAGGGCATTACCTACACAACTTGGCGCATGATGTTGAAGGATGAGAGTGGAGTGTTCGTGGAGATAGAGTTTCTGGACATAGTGGCCAACTATGGACAGGCATTGGTCATGTTCATACTCTTCGGACTCGACCCTGAAGAAATACTGATACCCACAGTCCGATTCTTGAAGACTAAATGGTAAAGTATCTATTTTGTATGAAAAATATATACATCAAAATAAATAATAAATAAATATATATCAAAAAGTATATTGTATATATATTTTGTATAGGGTATCAAAGTTTTAAAGTTACAAAATTGTAAAAAAATAGCAATAATCTTTATATCTTGACACTTCTTGTTGAATACAATACATGATAGATCACTATGAGTATATTTAATGTTTTATTTTGTCTTAGGTATGGAGGGGATACAGTGGTTCTGCCGTCCATAGAAGACCTAAGTTTTGAAACCAAGCATGTTTGTGATCAGTTCATCACACATCATCTTGATCGCTGCAAGGAGGCTATTGCTAAAGATACTAGGTAAATACCATAACTGTGATACTTAAAAGTGTATTAACATTATGTACTGGTAACTGTTTCTAGTCTAAAATCTCACTAAGAAACATCAAACAAACTTAGAAACTTTTATATAAATAGCTATGTATTGTGTCAAGCAAAACATGATGGCTATGAAATACTGTGTCTCGTATCTCAACTTTAACAAATAAGTAGAATTATGTATCTCCTGACTATCCTTTCAGAGAATAAAAGACAATGTAATTATTACAGATGGCGCATGCGCACATATCGTGGTGTATTCCGAGGCTCATGCCTGGTTCGCTGGCTAATCAACTGCGGTCTAGCAAAAGATGAACATGAAGGAGTACAATATGGTCGACACCTACTCGACGGACGACTCATATCACACGTGAATAACGCCCATCATTTCTCTAATTCACCTCTGTTGTATACGTTCAAGTAATCACCTGAGTGTTTAGTATTAACATCTAATGCATCTCGCATATTAGACGGCCATGATCACTGATCGTGGCTGCAATGACCAGATTAACAAAAGACTACATTATGAACGAATCGCATTTGGCTTTAATTGTGAACTAATCGTACACTGAGTAAATAACTGATCGCTGTGATCCACTTACGTATAGTTTTTTAAACTTGACCGTGGTTTTCAAGATTGCGATTGACCAAAATAGCGGCCACGATCACGACCAGTCGTAGTCGTGGCGTCTAATGCGCGTGATGTCTAAAGCAGATGAAGTGTAGAGTATTATTTTTGTTAAAATATGTCTTTTACACTTCATTTGCTTTCCTACTGCTTGGAACACACGACCATGGATATGCCAAAACTGAAATATTATATTCCTACATTTTACCATATAATTGTACTTATACGAGTATAAATAGATATCCAATTATACATTGAGATTTCATATCTCAACAAAATATAATTACTGTGATAGCGTCACAGACTCATAAGTTAACTAGGAAAATGTCTCAAAATATATTATGATTTATGTTATCAACATTAGGTGCTTCTTAAATATTGGTATAAACTTTTCTGGTGCTGAAGATGACCAAAAAATAAGTTGTTAATAATTTTATTATTCTTAAAAAGACATTTGTATTGTACATTTCGATTTATACCTATTTAGTTTATAAATTATTGTGTATATTTAGATACATTCTAGCTAATGGTTTCTATTATATGATCTCATTAAGGAAAAAACTGATGTTAGGTGTAAGCATCATCCAAATACTAGGTATCATTGTCTGAGTTTACAATCATACTGCATTATGCAGCGATGGTTGTAATCTGAAGTTTTATTTATTTGCGGCTATCTAGAGATAGGTTTATAATAATCTCGACTTATTTAAGTCATGAAATGGGAAACGGATATGTAGTAATAATTCTGTTATATAGCCGAATTCTATGAAATTGGGACATGAAATGTAATTTTGAAGATCATCAAGTTAAATATTACTAAACTCCTTAACATTCCTACAGGGAATAATTATACAAAATAAAATTATATCATTTTAGCAAAGTTACAGATGGAATTCTGGTAATGACCATCAAAATTGAAAATTAGGAATGTTAAGTTTTAACTGAAAGAATTAAGATCTTTTTATCAAAGAATCTGATATCTTCACAAATTGCGGGAAGATTTTTTATCAATTTTAACTACACATTTACAAACTTTAAACATTTTATTTAATGATAAAAAGTGCACAGACTGCTACTATTGGTTGCATAGAATTTTGATAATAATAGAATATTATAATCACTATGTTTCGTCTTGATTGTGTCCAGTTTATGGCGGCAGGCTCAGGCTCATATTAGATGGACTAATATCTAATTACATATACTTGAAAGTGTAGTATAACTAAACCTTTCTTGATATTACATAATGATTTATTTATTGTTCAACCAGCAGTCTGTTTTGTGTCTGTGACGAGACGCCATGAACAAAGTGTTTAGTATAAATTAGGTAATATTTATTATTTGTATACCTATCTTAGTTCACTTTAGATGCTAATAGTAAATGTGCGCAAAATATTTGTGATGTTCGGCTGTTATTGTTTGCCCTTGTTATAGTGTTAAGAAGAATATCGTAAATTATAATCTTAATGTTAAGGATAATTAAATGTATTATCGTATTTATATTATTATATTGTTGTATTTTCTGATTGAGCATAAAAAAATGTTAAAAAAAAATATATTTGTTGCATTACATTATAGTGGTTTTTTTAAATAATATTATCACATTTCACTTAAATAACTAAATAATGAAAACATTAGGGTTTTATTAATCATTATGTACATTTATTCAGCATTTTCTTCTTCGTTTTCATCTCCTCCATCATCTGGTTCCGGGGCTTCCCACCAAGTAAGTAGACCCAGGCCAGGTTCATTGATACCACCTACTATTCTGTAAGGCGCCACTGTCTGTATTGTGCATTCAGTACCAGGAGGTCCAGTGGGTAGACTTTCTTCAAAGGTTTCACTCGTAACCCGAAACCTTATTGACTCTCCTGTAGAAAAAAAATATCATTACTAAACAAAGTCGAGTTATTTCAACTTTTATGTTGTTTATGTCAATCATTAAAATATGTGGGATGGTCCTTTAGAGAAACTATGTGTTTTTCTAGTGAATAAAGTGCAGTGAATTACTATTTCATATTCATGTAGTTTAATACATTAACCAACAATATATGAGACAATAGAAAATGCATTGTCTCGTTTAGACCTATGCTCCAACATACCAGAGGTTAAATCAAATGAACATTTTCAAAACAATGCTTTGAATTATACCAGGTTGCAAGTGTTCATGGGCCCCTGTAACCATTTACTACCATGTGGGCCATGTGTTTTTTTTTTATATAAAAAGAAAATTTGTCAATTACCTGAGTCCATAAATAAGTCATGTTTTTCTCCATTTTCTATTGGGTACTCCCACACCCAAGCTTGATCTGTTTCATCAAATCTAGAGGGGTGTTGTAAAGCATTCACTGGTATTACTATGTCATCAAAAAATCCAAGAGTAACTGAAAAGTATATAAATACATGATTTTAAATAATGATCAGCATTATACATACATTGATTTGACTCAACTTCAATATTAAAATCAAATTCATACCATGAACACCTTCCCTGCTACAATTCTTTATCTTCCCGATAAGTATTTCTTCAACCACAGGTCTGAACACAATAAATCTAAATTTTACTTCTGTATGGGATGAACCATCCCCAGGAAATATGTACGAATTCCCAATATCTATGATATCGTACAAGGCTATGCATAGTCCTACATTTAACACTACCTGAAAAAAAAACATGAAATGAGTATATAGAATAAAAAATAAGAGGTTATTAATCTCAAATGTATAGTAGAGGGGTGGCGTTGGTAAACAGTAAACATGTTATTTTTATATTGATATTTGACTACCTTTAGTTTGGTTTATTCAGTAATGTAGTAAATCACACAAGTTAAAGAAGAGGTTAGGAATAAATACTTACTTTATTGGCTAGCTTCCTGTTAAGTAATGTTGTGATTGATTCGGTTAAGCTTTGATGGAAATGTTCTGGTGTAATTCTGACCACATCCTTCATTTCAGCCAGTACAAACATGGTGATTTTCTGATAGCAAGCAAATCTTAGTTCATTTCAAAACAATAACATTCGCGGTCTAACAATTAAAATGACAAGCCGTCTGTTGACTGTTGTCGCTTGTCAATGTGACGTGTGATGCATAGACTAAAGAGTAAAGTAAGTGATGGATTCGACTCGACTATCTGACTATTTGATAAGAAATCGTACTTAACTGTTGGTAACACTGGCATTCACCGTCATCAATATTTCAAAATAGTTCTTTCAAATCATTTGTCCATTCAATTTCTTTTTCGTGCGTCATTCATGGTCATTCATTATTCTGTCATTCATGACATTCATTCATCATTCATGTAAAAAAGTTCATCAGTCAGATCATCAAGAAATTCTATTACAATCTGATTTTGTTGCTTTGTTGTGATTGCCGTTTTCATCATAGATTTGATACCAGAAATATATATTTTATATTGAAACTAAATGCTCCGAGGCTACGACGCAAAATATTGTGTGTGTTTTAGCTAATAAATTCCTGAACCGTATTATTGTCAAAATTCTATCCTTGTAGGTACTGGTTTGTGTGTGGTTTTATAGTACAAGAAGCTTCATCTAATCTTTAAGGAGGGGAATCTTTTCACGATGATAGGTTTGTACTGTTTATTTTATTAAACATATTATTTTCACTAAATTAGCTTTTGTTAAGTTATATTTATAAATATTATTTTAATTTTATGGTGTGGTGCTTAATTGTCTACATTTTTGCACAAACATTCACTATTTTTTTTCCATTCAGCTAACAACAGAACAGATAGATCCAGGTCGCCTCACAGGACCGACAATGTTGGTCGCAGACGCGATAATAAAACTCAAGATTCTACTAAATCAATGGATAACATGCCCAATGTCATGAATCCTATGATGATGACCAATATGTTTCCACAAGGTACTTCATAAAGTTATAACATTAACAATAACAATATACTGATCCATTCAAGTGAAACTGCCGTGCTTATAATAACCACATAATATTGGTATTACAGTTTAATCAACTTATCATCATTATGGGCCAGTGAGTTGGAAGTTCATATGCTATTTTGTTTTATAGACAGTACATAAAGAAATATCACTAGCCTATAATGAAAAGTACAACCCTTAACACTAGAAAGACGGGAGCAGTCATTTGACCGCAATTTGATTTTAAATGTTGAATAACTTGAAATCTATTTGAGTTTTTAAACTGAGACTTTATGACTTTTATTTATTTTACTAGTTAAATGCAACTATGTATGAAAATAAATCACAACTCTTTTATTTATTATTTAAAATCTTGATCTACCTACAAAGACGGCGGCAGTCATTTGACTGCTGACAACCAATGAGTGTTTATAAGTGTAATATGAGAGGGTAGAATACAAATTATATACACTAATTCATTGTTTATAGTTTGTTTATCAAATGAGACCGTATCATTTCAAGTGTCTGTGAACTTTTACGAAATTATTGAAAGTAGTTTGTGGTCGCAACGTATTGGAGTCTTGAAAATGAAAAAAACGTTTGTTACTTTCAAAATATTTGTGAAGATGAGTCTGATTTTGACTCTAACAATACAAAACATGATAGCGACGACGATTATGTGGTACTACTTGTCAGTTCGAATTCCTCTACGGACGGAAGTGACCTGAAAGACCAGATACTTCGAGAAAATTTATCAGACGTTGACAAGTCGGGTTCTCGTGGTTGTAATCGTTGCTGTGGTAGTGATAAAGGCTGTGAAAGGAGTTTGGAAGATCCTGAGCATCAAGGTCTTTTCACAACTATCGACTGTATTTCTTGTACACACCTCAAATGGCATCTACTCTAAGTGGTCAAATGTCAATGAATCCGTTGATACAGATGCGTCTTGTGAAACTTTTTGCAAATACTGGTCAAAATGTTACGAGCATCTCAAAGGTGAAATACTTTTTTTTTCATATTTGTGACCTAGCAAAAATATAACATAATTTAGATAATTTTCCTTTTTAGATATAATTCCTTCATTTGGTATAGGAAAATGTAGAATATTACATGAAACAAAGGCTATTTATACTAAGTTCAGTGGGTGAACTTAGAAGCAAAGTATAAATTGAAGAAGACTCTCTAAAACTGAATCCTTGCCTGAAGAGTCTAGATCTTTTACTTCTCAATCTTTTGCACAAAATCCAGTAAATTCCAAAATATTATATACACAAATGCAAATACAAAACCCATAAAGAATGCGACAATTGCAAAAAGCCACTTTGCGGCTTTTGTAATGTAAACAAAATGATAAAATTAGAAATTCTATACATATTACTTAATTAACAGTATATTATACCATATTTAATACAATAGGTACCATTTCTAGCACTTAAACATAAAAAATATCAATAAAACTTGGAGCAGTCATTTGACCGCTCGCCGTCTTTGTAGGTAGATGATTTTTTCCGTCTTTCTAGTGTTAATTCAAACAATTATCATGTCAATTTACTTAATTAGTTATTTATTAACTTTTAATTCTTTCTGTGTTTTTACTATTGAATCTATTTTTTTGTGTGTGTACCTGGCATATCAGTCTTTACAAATTTATTAGCAACTAGCTAACCCAGCACACCACCTGTACCATAAACTTTTATTTCTTACCTTTTAAACCTTCATCGGACATTCACGAACATTTCAAAATTAGCCAAATTATTTCAGCCTTCTCGAGGTTTAACAAGACTAACAAATGGAAATTAATTTTTATCTATAATATTTAATGTTTTAGCTAACATGATGATGGCCAGCGGAATGTACCCCAACATGATGCTGCCTGGGCCAATTATGGGTGGAGGCATGATGCCTGGCCCAGGAATGGAAATTATGCAAGGTCCTGGTATGGATATGGGCCCACCACCACCTATGGACATGTCAGGAATAGGAGGTCCACCTATGGCATCCGCACCTGCTCCGCCTATGGAAATGGGAATGATGGGTGGAATGATGATGGATCCTAGCATGATGGGAATGTTTTCTAATATGAGTGGAGATGTACCTTCTATGCAGGAAAAGAAAGAATTAGTTTTTAAGCATGCCAGGCTTTCTCCTCCTGACTCAGGCACTCCTCAACCTCCCCGTCGAGGTAAACCTCCTGGTTGCCGAACTATATTTGTAGGTGGCTTACCAGATAAAATTAGAGAAAACATTGTGAGAGAAATTTTTGAAACTTATGGAAGGATTCATACTTTGAGATTGTCAAAGAAAAATTTTTGTCACATTCGTTTTGATAGAGAGGAATGTGTAGATCAGGCAATGATGATATCCGGGTATCATATTAAATTGATAAATATTAGTGACAATGATGATATGAATGAAGATGATGATGATGATGAAAGTTCAAATGCTACATCTGGTTGGTTACATGTCGACTATGCATTGGTGAGTCTTTTGAAATTGTTGTATAAATATATTTTTAGTTTTGAAACATGCAATTCAACAAACTGTATTTGTTGTCTACGTTCCTCTGTATTTTTATTTAACTCATTCAGTACCGTCATTATAGACACAATTAAAGAACAATAGGTTGCGGTCACCAGTGACCGCTCGGTGTTTGACAGTTTAATAAGTTTTACAGGTATAACTCAATGTAGCTAAATAACACATAGGTTCTTTTATCCCCTGTGGGGTATTGATTTATTAATACGAAATTATCTGTATGTTCCAGAGCCGTGATGATCAGAATGATTTTGAGCGGCGACAGAGACAAGCTTTACGAGCACAGCAAGTACAGATGCAACAGATGAATGTTCAGCAAGAAATTGTTCACCGCAACATAAACCCATTTGTGGATCTAAGGAGAAGATCACCATCACCACCAAGTAGAGTACAACCTTATACTAATGCTTCTATGGTGCAGCTAGCAGAAAAACTAAAAAATGAGGAGCAATTTGCAATGACTTTACCAGTAAGTTTACTAAAAACTTTCAACTATTATAAATTGTGTGAAAAATATTATATTAAATAATTTAAACTGTTACTAATGTACAATATAATTATTTATAGACATTACTTGCATGGTTGGAACGAGGAGAATGCTCCAAGAAAAATGCCAATCAGTTTTATACAATGATTCAAGCAACAAATACACATATACGCAGATTATTTAATGAGAAAATGCAGGCTGAAGAAGAACTACAGAATTGCAAGGATCGTGTCAAGAACCATATAGCAAGTGTGATTGAACAACGTAAGTTGCGAGTGTACTCTATATCAAAGTTTTCTCAATCACCATGTCTGGTGAAAGTGTGAATCAGTCTTAATTTTCTGGTTAATTCAGCATTATTTAAGATATTATTATATTTTGAAGGTAAGGTGGTCATAATGTTTTCTGGGATGAAAACATTGATGTAGAAGTTTAATGCATAATATTTTATTTTATGTTTTAAACATCCTTTGAAACATAAAATGTACTTTTATAAAATCTGCACTGTAAGATGCTTTAGTTAGACATTCAAGAATTAAAGCAACTTTGGAGTGTGGTATCTCAAATAATTTTAACAAATATTTTGAAATGGTCGCTCTCTAATATCTTCATATGGAGTAGCCAATAACAAATGGATCGCCTCCTGACGACCACGCCTGATGACCTCCAGCCATAAGTATAAAATATAACAGACAGAAAAATGGGTGCTTTGTAAGTGAATGATGTTATGACAATTTAATTTTATCTTTTTTCTGCATTTCAAGTGATGTTACTTTCCAAATATGTACAGTATTCAGATTGGGATAAAATGAATTGTCAAAACATATTGGGTACTTGTGTAATGACATGTCACAAGAACAAGACACATCTCTGTAACGCGAGGTGCAGCGCGTGCAACATAGTCAACTGTCTCGTCAACCTCGCATGCGATAGGTAGACGTGTAATGCTGCGACGAATATGTACGCTGACTAAGGGACGACTGATCGATCGAGAATTACGACGGTATGTTTTGGTCGCGAGACCAAAGGCGGATCTCTTAACATAATTTTGTGAACCTCAGTCGAACAGGTGGCGAAAGTGTTTGCCGCAGCGTCTCATCAACGTGTATGGGATCACTTCACAAAACCGCAGAGAAAGAACATTGAGACGTGGCAGAAAATGACACAGGTACTTCTCCAGCAATTGTTGATTTGTTAGGACACAATGAGACTGTCTAGTAAATATGTATTACGTAATTGTTCGTGGTATTCCTGCTGTTCATTATAATATTGTAAACCTTAGACATGATATAATTTAAACGCCTGATTTGAGTAAGTATACATTTTATTTCAACTAACTGGCGCTGGTTCAATAGTGTAATGAATGGCGAAAATTCTAGGTGACCAGGAAGACAGCGGAAACAGGTAAAGAGAAGAAGATGTAGTGTATTTCAGGATTACGACATGCCGGCTTGCAACCTCTGTGGTGTAGCTACATAGTCTCTAAACATTCACTTGTGGATTTACGACGTTTAGTTGTTATTATTTATTTAATTATAAAATTTTCGCTATACAAATATAAATATTTCAGGAGTTTAGTTCACTGAAAGAAGAATTTCTTGAAAAGTTTGGGGACGATCGCGATGGTGATTACAATGGCTTGAGTCGAGCCTCAGAAAGTGAAGAATTGCAACAATTGAAAGTATGTAGTTCTTCAGTCATAAAATCGTGCTATGGATATATGTATTCCGTTAATGTACAAATGTACCTAATATTGTTTTCTTTTGGTTCAGCGTGAAAATGAGAGCCTACAATTTCAATTGGAAGCATATAAAAATGAAATTGAAGTCGTAAAGTCCGATACTATGAAGGAGATGGAGAAATTCAAGGCGCAGTTTATTGCACGACAAGCCTTACAATGTGCCCTGGACAAAAATGTAAGTAACTATTTTTTTTTGATACAAAAGCTAATCTTATTCTAACTAAATGTTAAAGAATCATTTCTTCAATAGATTAGAATGTAGGTAATAGATGCTAGATAAAAGCTATGAAAATCAACTAAATGAACTAATAGGAAAAGCTTTACTAGTTTTGAGTGTCAGAGGGACTTTTCCTCATGAGCAGCAAGCGCGTTCGCGGCAATTTCGTGCAGCCTACGAGAATCAGTTATCGATTATCATATTATCATGTTACATATTGTCAAAAAAATTAACTATCTATTAAACTTGCAGCCGCCTCTGCCATCGCCGATTGTAAAACCACCCCCGCCGCCACCTCCGCCGTTGCCTGAGGATGTGCACTCATCAGGGCATTCCAAGGAGACTGTAGAGGCAGGCTGCGGAGAAGCCAAGCTAATTGGCGTTATGTCGGCTTTCTTACAGGTAAGCAATTTAATGTTTAGATTCTTTATTATCATATTACATTACATACATACTACATAACATCAGGCTTTTTATCCCCGAAGGGGGTAAGCAGAGGTGCACATTACGGCACTTAATGCCACTGTACAATGTAACACCCACTTTTCACTATTTATGTTATGAGTCCCATTTAATAGGGGGTGAGCCTATTGCCATATACCGTGCACATTTCCAGACTCCGTGCTACTACAGAGCTTTTTACAAACCCAGTAATACTTTGCCCGACCCGGGAATCAAACCCTAGACCCCTTGCCCGGCAGTCGCCGTTGCGACCACTTGGCCAATGAGGCAGGTATTATCATAACATGATATTTAAAGATGTTTTAGTAAAACATTATCAATAACATTATTAGTAATTATTAACGACAATACACGGGTCAACGAAGATAAGAAATAATATACTCCATAAATTAAATCTTATTTGATCTATGGTTACTGACTGAATATAATTTTCATCCAGGTACACCCACAAGGGGCTAGCTTGGACTACGTAGTATCGTATGTCCGCGCCCTCTTCCCACAGGTCTCTCAAGCTACAATACATCATGTGCTGCAAAAACACACGGATGTCTTCGAACGTACTACAAGCGGAGTCGGCGCTAACATTGAAAATAAATGGTACTTCATTGCATTCAACAAAATCATCAATAATGACAAGAAAACTTAAAAGTAAAACAGGCATTTAAAAACCTTATTTGCATATCAAATACCTTTAGTTTTTGTAGTGGTTGTAATTAATCTATGTATGTGGGTATTTATCGCAATAATCAAGAACAAATTAAAACTGTATTATGTGCAAATTAAATTAGCAATTTTCGCTACCAAAAGATTACTTTTTGTAACATAATGCAAGAACGATAATTAAAGAACGAAGTTTGTCCATTTCCTCTAACAATTAATTATTATAATTAAACAAAGAAAACTATGAATCCTAAAAGGGTTGATTATTTATAAATCGATCTGGTGGTAACTGTTAAGATTACAAATAGTAATTATTTTATTAAATTTATATTTACAGTACATAAAGTATTTTTTAACAACTTTACCCCATTTAAAAGGAGTGTTGTTTCTCAAAATCTTTATTACCTACTAAACAAAAGATCAAAATAGTAGATTTTAATTTTATTTTTTCGTATTACGTCAATGGATACAAGGGAATTTCGAAGACCTGATTAAAAAGGCATTTAGTAATAAATTATTATTTTTTATTAAAAATTTACTAGATTTTTTTAAGAGTCTAATGTCGGAATACTGAAACGCTACTCAATTTTAAGTCCATTTTATGTTCCAAAAATTGTAAGTATTCAACGTCGTATGAAGCTAATTTTGTGACTGATAAGTATGTATGTAGGGGTTATATGTCTTAACTAAGTTACTTAATAAACTGTGTTTTAGTATGTCGTGTTTCATTAAATAGGTGAAAAATATCCAGTTAACACCTCTGTAAATCCTTTCAGAGATTAAAGGGATTTTATATCATTCTCAATTTTCAAATTAGCTCTCCGTTTTCTGCTGCGCTTGTAAGTCGTTGATAGTTTGCATATACTCTGTGGTGGCCTCCTCTAGATCTCTGTCGTTCATCGAAGGATCAGTTTCCACTGCCGGTTCATTTGCGTTACCACCTTGGCGCATTTTTAATCTCAACTCTCGCATCCGAGCTTCTAATATACGTTCTCTTTTGTTTTCACGATCTAAAACCTGAAGAAAATTAATTACTTTAAAATGAAAATCGATAATCCGGTGAAATATAATGAAACCCTTGTTTGGTATTTCTTACGTGTGTTAATAGTTGTTTATCGTTTTTGTCTGCTGTACCAAGATTTTCTGATAATTCAGCTAAGTAGACTGTTCCTTTACTGCTACCACATGCTACCAGTAAGCCCTGAAAAGGATGTACAATATGTAAGAATATATTTTTTGTATGTTTCTTTTGTTTTAAATCTTTTGATAAGTGTATAGGATTACAAACTCCTTCGTGTGGTCGCAGACGAAGTAAAGGTTCATCACAAAGCTGTGCTGTTACCAACGGGGCGCTTCTTCTTCGTAATAAATCCCAACAAGAAAGGCATCCATCCCACTGTGTGACCAGCATCAACGAAAACCTGCAGAAATGAAAGTTATGAAGAGGTACATGTTTAATTTTTTTCTAATATTTGGATAATAATTGATGATGCTTGATGTTGAGGTAATATTGTCACCTGATAGGATTCCATGCACCATCAGTGAGTTTCGTTCGATGCGAATATGTCCATAGAATTGCAGATTCACGACAGTCTTCGCTCCACACGCGAGCCGTCCAATCCCCAACTGTTAGGAAGTTTTTCACGAATGTCGGGTTCCTTTGTAAGGCGTATACAGGACCAAAGTGTGCTTCATACTAAACATAAAAGCAATACGTGAGAATGAAACCAATATTTATACAGAAATCTATCCGAAACTGACCTTAGTGGGAAGCTTTTCTACAGCATTTTTCCCTTTTCGATTACCTCCAATCACTAAACCAGTTTCTGTCCCAACCATGAACCTACGAAAATTACATAAGACTTTCATTATCACGTGTTACAAAACTTTTATGAATATTATATCATTATGGATTTCCATTGTTTACCGCGTTGGTATCGTTGGCTCATATTCAAGTGCTGATATTCCAATGGCGTTATCAATGGACGGTGTATCAGTTACTGCTTTTACGATATCTATAATCATTGAGTCTGTAGGCTCACTCATATTGCGTGTATCCCACCTGGAAACCGAATAATTGATGTAAACTTTTCGCTTTTTTGCTTGGTTTGTATCTGCCTAAGTAGTAGTTATTTACTTTATACTTGCCATTTGACAACACCATCTGGTGATGAAGAGAAAAATTCAGCCCCTATTTTTGAGTTTATAAAGAGCACATTTCGAGCTATGTCTCGATGGGCAACGTGAGGTGGGCAAACTCCAGCGGGATCTCCACCTTTCCTTGTGTCCCACCACCCAACCTATGAACACGTCAGGGAATGTGAGAAAATACATTTCATTGTCTTTGTTTAATTTAGGTTCCATGGACCGTTGCCTACCTGTCCATTCATCATTCCTCCGATTATAAGATGTGGATCTCGAGGATTGTATATGAGATCTAGCAAAGGTTGGGGTGGTTTTATCACCAGTTCGGGTGCATTGGCATTCTCTACAAACAAATAAATGTTTGAAATTACCTCAATTTTCTTAGCTTAATTACCTATATCTAAATACTTAAACAATCTATTTTCTCGAATAAGTAAATACCAATGTCCCAAATGTAAGAATATTGTGGATTTCTAGAATTCCTCGTAAGCTCGATATCTGCATGTGCTACTGCTAGTTTGGCACCTCCGTCTGCTTGCCACGACAAAGATCGGATCGGACGCCTGCCATCCGGTTCACGGTACACATTGACTGTATGACAACCACTGTTTTCTACTGGTGGTATAGCTGGTAGTTCTGTGTTGTATGTCTCGTACATATCCACAGCATTATTTTGTAGGATATTGTGTTCCATGCTCTGTGAAACAAAACTTATTTCAACATAATATAATATTCCTACTTACATTTATTTATGCTCTTTATTAACACTCACATGACCTAAGTGCATAACTGCGTGAATATAAGCATCATCCTTCTCGATTTTCCTTCGATATCTTTGTGTTGCTTCAGGATCATTCATATTGATGTCTTTAGGCCACCCACCCTCAACGTGGCTTACACCAGAACTTGTGTATTCTGCTCTAAATTACGTTAACAAAGATTTCACAGATTATTATCGACAAGATTAATTTTGTGGCATTTCGAAGAGTCGAGAAACGTTACCTAATTCTTTAACATTTTACAGCACGTAGGTACGCTAACTTACCTCACAGAATTAACCCAATGTTCAGACATAGTCCCTGTGTTTTGGATAGCACAATGCACCGGATTGCGAAGAATATAATCCGAGTATTGTGCTGGATTGTTTGGTATGCTAACTATCATTTCAGGCCCATGATCTTCAAATAACGTTTGTCTTCCAAATTCTTTTCTTCGTTTCTTGTATTCGTACACTAGTTCTACTTTTTCCGGCTTTTCCATGATAACGTTTAGTGAGAGCCAATGACGCTAAAAGCACAGACTTGGTGGTCTTCGTTAAATCGATAAACTCTCGAGGTTACTACGGCGATAAACAACTGTGTGGTCTTTTCTACTATCTTTTAATATATTATTTATACTTATGCATTATATCTTACCATATAATTATATGATATATAAAATAAATAAAGATAAGGGCTATAGATTTAGACGCGTTTTTATGCGAGGGTTTTGCTTTAAAACCGTATTTAGAATCTTAAGTAATTCTGCGCAAGTCAAATTAAAATAACTGAGTGGCTAGTTTACTCTTAGTTTTATTTTAATAAAGAAAATTCAGGCGTTATCCCGTTATTGACAATTTAATAGAGCGGTATTGGATCAGCTTGTGTGGCTCGTCTCAGTGACAGGACGATCAGGCGAGGTGGTGAAGCTCCTAACTTCACGGTGCATTGCTCCAAAAGAATCGCCCAACGTACCGCTGACCTATTCTCTGATGGCATGGCTTTTAACTGCTGTATCTGTAATACGTAGATACTTTAATTTATCGACTTTTCAACTGATTTTCCTACTACTGGAAGATGTGACTAATAACAAAAAAATATTCTTTTATAAACTACGTTTAAAAAAACCGACATCATCCCCCTCTGTTTTAAGTTGGTTAATTAATGTATTGTAAAACCTCCCAAGTGCAACAAACACTATTCTGAACACCGCATCAAAATAGGTTCCGCCATTCGCGTGATAATCGCGCACAAACATACATAGGTACATACAGGTCAAACTGAGAACCGCCTTGTTTCGCTTTCTGTAGTCGGTTAAAAATACTTCAGCAGCGCAGTGATATTTCTTGATTGCAGTATCATTATTGGTGAGCCATCCTCTTTCTCTTTTTTGCCAACCGAAAAAGACGTCAGCAACTTTTCAGAACGGGTCAGCAAGAATGTTCATCAGTCAATGTACAGCATGAGGTGTATGAGTTACCTTAGACGGCTTATCTACTTACTGTATATCCCAAAGTGTCCTCGAGAACATTGACAGGAAGTCGAGCAGTCAACTCTCCAGTGTGATCAGTGAAACGCACCCGAATATTTTCTTCAGGATTATTATCCCTACAAAATAACGTTAAAAAATATTCATCGCTTAAAATGCAAATAAACATGATGATGATGATTAAAAGCATACAATTTGTCAAGCTCATCCAAATCCAGGTGTGTAAGTAGTGCGTGGAGTGAAGCACAGAATGGCGCTGCGCCTGCGACTCTGTCACGTATTTGTGCCACAGATGCTGCGCATGAGCGCTCACCACTCCACGCTGCCCATGCCGCTGCTTCTCCACCACCTAAAGTTGGTAGGTACTTGATTATATTATAAATTGACTATTATAAAATTACTAATTAATTAGAAGTAAAAAGGCAAAGGCGGTATTAATGGTACGGTTAGATAAATATTGAACATTTATGCCGCTTACTTCGGTTTATTAATAAACATGACTAAAATAATAAAACAAGGACAACCAATCTATGAGATTAAAGCAATTGATAAGAATTTTGTGTTCATTGATTAGTGCCCAGTCTGGGAAGATGATGTAACACCGCACACAATGCACGTTCACATAGGTACGGTTATCTAACCGCTAGAGGACTTAATTAGTGGATAGCAGAACTAGTGTTATCCGAATATCTGATACAAGCTAAACACAAGTGCGATTCTGTAATACATGTGTGTTACGAATACTACGAGTAACAACTGTTATCAAATAGTTTGTAAATATGCAAATATGGACGAATATCTACTGTAAATGCTAATAAGAACTACCTTACTCCACTGTTAACCAGTTTCGTTAACAGCCCCTACTAATATGGGGTTACTTGGTATTGCTATTTAGGTACATCCAGGTGCAATTCGAGATTGAGCTATTGCTGAACATTTTGGAAATTGAAAATACCTCCATTAAAAACAGGGTAGGTACTAGGTACATACTTTGCTCAACTTGAGAAATCAACCCACTCGTTTGCGACCACTCGACTCACGAGGCAATTCGTTTAAGAGCAATAAAAGCGTGGACTGAAATATTGCGCACCAATTTAAATACCTACCAATTGATCTTCAATTGAAACTTACAATAACCTTAACGTTCTCGGGCTCCTTGACAAACCTATAGGTGAAAACAAAACAAAGAAATAAAACAAAAGTGCTAATTTTGGCTAGCATACTCACATGTAAATATTATTGTAGGTAGTTGCCTACCTACCCACCTACGAGATTATGTTTATCTTCCGTTGCGATCCGTACAGACATGTGAAATTCTGAATAAATATTACAGTATCATGTAATCATTTTTGTTTACCGAAACAGGCGGAGCTTATCGTAGTGATAAATACACAAAAACGAAAATAGAATAGTTTCAGATAATCGCTAAAGTTAGAGTAGTGACTCACGCGCCGTAGACTGGTTTCGTATATGCAGCCTAAGAGCTTCTGCGTCTGCTGTATGAGGTTGATGGGTGATCACGGTTTTGGCACAGACTTGCACGCTGACTGCCCTAGATCGCCAAGATACACGAGCATCCGCTATGAATAGCACGCTTTCTAAAGGACGCCACTCATCAGCTCTAAACGAGAAAGTGTTTTTCAAAGTGTCAGTTTTGAAGAAAGATAACTGCGTTACTATCGAGGTAAATATTTATGTGTTAACGACCTCTAATTGTAATTATACGCCCGATAGCGTTACTTGCGCTGTGCGGATTATGACAATGTTATAACTTTAATATTATAATATATCTTTATTAAAATATTAATTAAGTGCCTAGATATTTATATTTATTTATAGACCTTTGTATGGTATCGATGTCAAAAACATCCAAGTTAACGGAAGCTGGCGTCGTGTTGTCTATTATCTCCACTCCTCGCACCGACATGTCTACACCTTCAAAAGTATCAAGTATTTGTTAAATTTGTTAAATATTTAAAAATAAAATATATATTTTCAGAAGACCGGGCCGGCTACCTACCAGTTTTTGTTTTTATAGATTTTGCAGGTTTTACGGTTTTCACAACTACCAACAAGTCCACGTAGACATTATTAGACGCATCTGTAATTGTTTTCAAAATAATTAGGCCCGTTGCTTACGCAGCACATTTATAAACTGAAGACAGTTTGCTTGTGTTTAATTAACGGTATTTATCCATTTTATTAAGTATTAAAATTATTTCAACTAACTATTACGGTACAATACAAATACAATATATCGATAAAGCTTATTACGTCTTATTAGGTAGGTACCTACTTAGATGTCATTTACTATGCACTTTCTAGCAATTCTCCAGAATAGCAAGGTTTGTTAGGGACTTCGTGTTCATCATTAACGAATATTGAAAAAAGTTAGTATTTTGTACTAAATCGTGAATGCATTTACATCTGTATACACAACAATCAATAGATCGCAGACGAAGAGTCATTCTGTCTAGAATCGAACCTGGCAACTTGTCAAAAACTAACCTGGCAGTTTCAACACTTCAGCAAGCCCGTAGTATCCAGAACATTGTTTAGTTGGTATGTGAAGGAGCGGTAAGTACATGCTAAAGGCGTCTCCGCTGTGGATGCTGACATCTGACATACCTTCGTTTAAGCTCAAGTAAAACGGTGAAGTCACCTATGTAAAAACGATTAGGTAAGTATTTAGATAGAACAATTAAATACAAACCATAAAAATATGAGATAGACTAGAATTACCTGAGGCCTGTATGCTTCATTATCACCAGTTTTAACGCAAATTTTTGGTGAAGTGATTTCAACTGTAAAAATGTAAATTAAATATGTAGTTAAATAAATGGTGCTACTTACTGTCTTGCAATAGTGTACTGTTGGACTTACCGACATCCCCAACTAAATATCTTTCGTAAAAAGTTAAAACAAAATATTCGGATCCCCAAACGTCGACATTGATCGTGTCTACCTCTGAATCTCTTACAGTGAAAGATGTGACCCCTCTAGATTCATTATTTTTCTTCTTGGATCCCACCGTACGCGGACTGTTCTTAGCAATTATAATACCGATAATCAACGCGTTTTTTAAGTTAATATTCAAATTATTTAATCTAACTTTTTGAACTCCCGCCATTTCTCCGAATTCTGTTTTTCTGTAGTTACAGTCGTCCGTCCGAGTGTCATTGTTTTTTTTATAGGTTAACACCTAAGTGATCAAGTCTAAGATACATATTTCAGAAAAAGAAATTGTTATTTCATATGATTTTCTTTATTGCGCTCCAGGAAACACAAATTATTTTAACGCATATTACTTTTATAATTTATTTACATAATTAGGACCAAGGATCATACTTTTCTAAAATAATTGTCTCCTCAAATTAAGCCAAAATAGGTATAATGGCAATATTGATAAAATCTGTCCGATAACTCTAATGTCAAAGTCATTGTATTTGTATTGTCATTAATTTGACAATGACAATTTGATATCAAATCAAAGAAAAGAAACCGCCAAAAGGAAACGAAAACATTGAATATTGAATTTATCAATTTAAATGTTTCAGTTATAACAAATCAACCAAAAGTATAGTAATAAAACTAAGAATTTAAAGTGGCCATCTATACGTGCGCTGAGAAATAATTTGTTATCATGTTGTTTAAAGCGGAATCTAGCAAAACTGAGAGTACGTTTCAGGCTTGTGAACTGGAAAGGCAAGAAGTAGATTACACGGATTGTTCTAAACGGTTTCAGGAAGTTGCTAGAGACTTTTCGAACCAGTATGCTCACATATATTCAGCTAGACTGAATACTTTTAGAAATATCTTGACTCCAATAGTTCGAAAGAAGTGGTCGGATCGTCATAAGATTTTGAAGTTATGTGAACTTCGAGATAAGGGTACAACATGTGTTATAATTGGGACGCTTTTCAAATTCCAAGAACTGAAACCTAGCATCCTGAAAGAATTGTCTGATCAGTTGGAAATCATACCTCAAGCTCCTAGGTTAGTTTTGTGAAAAGATTATTGATTACATTTCAATTCACCATCTATACACGATGTATAATTTAAAGTTTATTTCAGAACACACTTTGTACATGATAGTGATAGCTTGGTGTTGGAAGATGAGCTTCAAAGAATAAAACTGGTTGGCGACTGCATTGATGTTCATAGTGTTGTGACTGGTGTGGTCTGTGCTTTGTTAGGTAAGGTTTTAATTTAGAATTTCATCATAATTTTGATAATAACTTAACAGTTGATCGTGTTTGTGTTCAAATATTTTTTATCACTTGATACTTTTAAATTTGTTAAAAGTGTCTCTGCACACACCTATAGTCATGATTATAAATCAAGAAATGTTTCCAGGATCAGAGAATGAAGATGGAATATTCACAGTCCAAGATATTTGCTGGGCTGGATGTGGTATACAAAAACCATTACCAAAATTGAGTTCAGACAAGTAAACAAACATTATTCTTTAACGTGAATTCAAATACACCCACATTTTTCTTCCGTACTATACCAATTAATATATTTTCTTACAGATATGTAGTTTTAATTTCTGGTTTAAACACATCAAAGACAGCTGAACACATGTTCTCATTGCATCTATTGATGGAATGGTTGTCAGGTTTGTCTGGTACATCTGAATACCAAGAGGAAGTCTCCAAGATTGTTAGAGTTATTGTTGCTGGTGAGTCCTTTGCTAAATACTTTAGCTTAACATGTTGTAAAAGTTACTTCAAATACTAGCCCATTAAATGTGATTTTTATGACATTATTATAATGTCATCATTCTGTAAATCTTTTATAATTACGTAAGTTCACAAGTGTAATTATGTAGACTTCAATTTCAATAAACTTGTATGTGATTCGTATTCAAATGCTTTCCAGGTGGAGTATTAGCAAGCCAGACAAAGGAAGGTAGTGAAAATGAATCAGATTTCTTTGCTGCAGTGGAATTAATGGACTCTTTAGCAGCCACTTTAAGTGCAGTTGCACCTCTAGACCTCATGCCTAGTAGCAAGGATCCAACTGGAATAATGTTGCCACAAAAACCTTTCCACTATTGTTAGTTCATTCTGCTATTTAATTTTTTTTATTGTATGTATTAAAAGAAATAATGTACAAACTTTTTTTCAGGTTTATTCCCTAAAGCTATTGAGTACAAATCATTCAATCGAGTGACTAATCCTTATGAATGTGATATTGGAGGTGAGCATTACAAGAAATAAGTAAATACTGTATTATTTTTTATCAATGTATTTATATAGAAATGTATTTTTTCTAGGTTTCACATGTTTGGGGACTTCAGGTGAACCAATAAAGGACATTATGAGATATAGTAAGCTTGACAACGCTCTGGAAGTGATGAAGAAAACCCTATTATGGAGGAACATTGCACCAACTTGTCCAGATACAATACCATGCACACCTTGCACAGATACAGATCCCTTTATTATGTACAACTGTCCAGCCATTTACTTCTGTGGCAATTGTCCTGAATATGCAACTGATCTATATGAAGGTACAGTAACTGACTTCAAAAATATTAATTATAAAGAATATTGACAACTAGACTAATACTTTATTTCTTTTTCAGGAGAGAATGGCCAGCGCACCAGGCTAGTGTGTGTACCAAACTTTTGTGAGTCAATGACTGTTGCCCTGATAAACTTGGCAAATCTAGAATGTTACAGCATGAAGTTTTCATAATTGTTTGTTTGTAAAATAATTTGAATAAATGGATTTAAGTTTCGAATTCGTGTTTATTTTGTTTTGGTTCATTGCACTATTGTTTCTAAATAGTAGTCATGTAATTATTTACTGTAATTTTTTAAAAATAAATCTTTTCCTAAGGATCTAATTTTAAATTGATCTTATTTAAAGAATTTCATTTAAACGATTTTTTATTTCTTTTTTTAGATTTTGATTATTGTTGTGTCGTGATTTGGATTCCTCTTATATTTTCTTGACATTCCTGTTATTTTACTTATTTGATTTAAATTTCATTCAATTGTTCTATGGTTGTATACACATGATGTGATTCCCTTTAATTGAGGGATCACAATTCACAAGGTTATTGTAATGTCTGGTGGATTAGTCTTTAGCATTTAAGTGTATCTTTTGTTGGGAGTCTAAATAAATAAATCTGCATTTCATCAAAATGACAGTTCGCACTTCGCAGCTATTCGAAAAAGAAATTGACGATAAATCATTAATAAGTTAGAATTTTCATACTAATAATTTCAATAGTCATATCGTAGGGTCTCAAAATATTGTGCAATGAAAAGCTTCTATTGCGTCATTTCAGAAGAGTACTGAGAGGGCGCCACTGCTTAAAGTAAAATAGTTTTTTTGATTGGCAACTCCGAGGCTTGCTTGCCTCCTCCCGCTGAACCTCTGCCCCTCTTTCTCTATTACTCATCAATGGCTCAAGACTAGTAGACGTGTTTAATTGTTTTCCCTCTGCTATAATTGCGTTCAAGATGGGTTACTAGTGCCTAAAGTTTGCACACCTGCGTGTGCCTTCACACGAAATATAAAAATGTTGTAAGTACAAGCTTTTTATTATATATAATTTTAGTACTGAAATGAGGTTTTCATTTTGCCATACTGTTGCATTCCATTCAATTAACATTATTCCAGAGGTGAAAATACGGTACAACAGTTCAATATTTGACAGTACTCATGCACCTGTTTGTTTATAACAAGTGTTTGTAACTTCTTTCATTGACACACTTTGTTTAGCTATGTGGTCGAGTCAGCTTTCACCGATACTAAGTTGCGCGGGAGATCTATTATTACGACATTCCTTAGAATAAACTGCGCTTTGACTTCACAATCAGCTTAACTTGTCGCACATACATGAATAGTATACGTTTACAACATCACTTTAAGTTTTCATCTATTTCACAGTGATTATTTCGGTTTCAATCCTTATCTTACATTTTCTTAAATTGCAAAGACTTACTGCGCAAACTACTAATAAATGTTTTCTTAATAAAATATGTATTTATAACATTTTCACTTAGTAAAAAGAAATTTTAATTCTTACCGAAATTTTCCTGTCTTATGTTGTTATTGATGAGGGCCATGAAAATGAAAGAGAAATTAATGTTCACAATCATACATTTAAATAAAACTCAAGCGATTGCTTGATTACACTCTCTGTGAAAACTGTGGCATTTTATACTCAGCAGTGACCATTGATGTTTACAATCACCATGTGACAAGTGCTAGGTTAACTAACTGATTTTTGTTGACAAACATGTTCTTAAATTTATTAAGATTTCCTATCCCAAAGAAATGAATTTAAACTGTAGAAGCTATACGGATCAGGCTGCATTTTAATTAAATGAAATGTGCTGCACTCCCTCTGGTATTAATTTCGATGTAGTCTTATAGAAACTACAAATATCTTCATATATCAGTCAGTACATACATTACTCATTGTTATTGTCTGTGGTAATGTGGTAAAGTCCCGAAGTTTATCCCCCAAATAGGTATATTATTTTATTATAAATCAATATATTAATTTAAAATCTTTAGTAGTACTTATTAAAAATATTCTTGTTACAATAGAAAGATACAGTAATTGATTTTGCAAACATTGAGTAGTATAGTTGCTTTTTAACCGACTTCAAAAAAAGGAGGAGGAGGTTCTCATATCAAAATAATTTATGAAACGATAGTTTGTTTTTGTTGTAGCACCGAAATTTGTTGATTCAGTTATTTGCTATTGAGTTTGCTATCTTCTGACTTCATGCTGGTTTTCTTTTAATTACTTAGTTCTTACATATTTACAAGAAAATGTTTGTAAATACATATGTAAAAATATAATAATTTATCCAGTAAAACATTTAGTTGAGATCATGAGATCATGTTTAATGAATGATTAAGATATTTTCAGTACATAATGTGATGCTGAACCACAATGACTTGTTATTTTGATACTCTGCTAAAATGAGTCAGATTCAGTAGTGAGCATACAGGAGTAATTGAATGTTACAATATTTACTATTTATATTTCGTGACAACATAATAACATATCAAAAATTATTTAGGTGTACCATTTTTATAATCGGCATTCAAGATAAGCTTAAACTTATACTTGCAAACAAAATAATACTGATAAAAAGATTTGTCTAAATCATTCAATAATGAATAAAGTTACATAAGAATAGGAAGTATTATTCCTTCAATAATTATTGTGTTTATTATCTTTATATTATACAGTATTCCAGATATTTATAACAATACAATTATCATTAATTTGACCTGACTATCATTGTTTATTTCAAATTGATTTTTTACATTGTTATGTAAAAAAACCCTGTTATCTTTCCTTTTCAGTCAGTATGTCTGTTATTCACTTGAGTACATTGGCTTTATTGTATTGTGTATGAATAAATGGAAACACAAAGCCCTTGAAGGATGTGCCATTTGTTAATACCATTTTCTATAGGTGATAGCTTTTGATAAAGGAAATTAAATTTTATTTATGTACTTTTCTTGTATACTGTGTAGACTACAGTTTTAATCGTTAAGAAATATTTATTACAACTAGCATTGTCTTGTCTGGTAGGAATTATGAGATAAATAACAGTGGTTGTCGATTATAATTTCATCACTATTGTGTCCCTGATCATGAAAAATCCACAACATTTGTTCTTACAAAATAGTCTCTAAAATCGGAATTAAGGTCTATAAATTATATTGAGGGAAGTGGAAAGTGGTCACTGGTGACTGTTTGTGGACTAGGCAGTATTTGAAGGGGGTAATATTTATTATGGGTTTGCTACAGATTTGGCAAACACTGTATAGTGTGTTTCATCAATTTCAATAATTTTTTTCTGGGGAAGTCAGGTATCGAAAAAAAAAGGAAAAAGGTCAATCACACCATAGCAATAAACTATTGGCGATTCGCGATTTCTTTTACAATAAACTCATTATTGAATGACAAAATGAGACATTTAATATGTGAATCACTACTATGTATTTAATATTTTGTGTATGTAAATATTTTTTTATTTACAATCTTAATACTTATTGTGATTATAGCGTAAAGTTTATTTTTGGGCTAGCATTTCAAAAGTTTGCGCAATCATGTCTTGTTCGTGTTGAAAGTCAATGCAATCTACTGTTGGGACATAGTAGGGTGGTAGTACGTGCTTTAGTTCCATATTGGCTAATGTACGAGCAATTTTCACATCTATCTACTTTGCTATAAGAGTCAATATAAAACATGCAGTACCCTCGTGTTCACGGATGACGTCAATGGCTTCCATTGCTCTACGTAGTTTTTATACATGTATAGTTTATTGCGTTGCCACGTAATTTCGTATACTACTATATAAACTAGTACTACACACTAGATATTTTGTTTCTTTATCATTGTCATAATGTCTGTAATACTACGAAAAACCTCATTCATAATTATTTGATAACTTAACGCCTTCACTCGTAAAGTCAGTAAACAGACAGAGTCGACAAAACTTATTCGTTACCTACTTCCAAGTGTATTTTTGTTGACTGTGAACAAACCACGAATTCTAAATAATATTTTTATTATAATATTTAGTTTGAACAACCCGGATATTGAAACTATTTGGTTCGTCGTTAATCGCGATCCCTTGACAACGACATGGAACTGAGTTAGATTTATGTTTGATAAGATAACGACTTATTTTTTTCGTCATCGACCATAACGATAATGCATATCTCATGACGCTTAACTCATAAATAAGCACAGTACTCACTTCTACGTTTATGTATTATGTAGTTTTAAATGATCAATGATCAATATTCAAAACGTGAAATATGGAATACATTCTTCGAGTAGTAAAGTAGCTATTTAAGCAAAAAATATCTATGTAACGGGTTTAGTTGACCGATTCACAACTTATACATGCATGCATTCATTAGAAAACACGATAGACAAGCAAAAAAAGCTGATGTCATCACTCTTTAGCCGAGTGATTGATAAAAAAAACAATGCGATCTTCTAGAACTGTGTTTTATACGCACAATTTCAAGGTCGTGGTCCAAGGTACGGACAAAAACGCATGGACGCAAAAATAATTTTGCATGACGTCACAGTCATTGGCATTATTATCGCATGTGTCTCATTACAGTATGAAACTGCAATTATAAAGGAAAATTAGTACAAATGAATAAGCAGAATCATTACGTTATAGTCTAGGTACATATAACGTTACAGATAAGGTTCAGGTCACAATTTCCATTCATGGGGCATTCACTGATATGGGAGAGAAAATTTCAAATGCATTGAATTTAGTTTCAAGCCTACTTTATTATATTCTTTTAAAGCTTATACTTTTTACTATGAGATATGGTACCTACAACATTCATACTTGTCTATTATTGAAACAATGCGTTTAACTCGTCGAGTACCGGTTTTATAGACACAATTAAAGAACAATAGGTCGCGGTCACCGGTGACCGCTTGGTGTTTGACAGTTTAAGTATTATACAAACAAAATGGCACACTCGATAGATAAGTATTTTTGTAAATTTTTCGATTAGCAGAGACGCGGCGACGTATGTGATACAAAACAGATATAAAAACATTTTTCACTGCTACTTTTATCAATATGTGATAGAATAAATGAATATAATCTTTTTGTTTTCTACAAACAAAGGTTTGCATATAAGTTGCCAAACATTGTATTCGAAACTGCGTTTTGTACTAACAATATGGCTAAAATAAGATCAGGAATACCAAATTGTTTACATCTGTTGTACAAATACAATGGTGTGATGGTACTTTGTGATAAATGCTTTGTGTTGCAGGCAACACAAAGCAAGTCTCTTGACTTGCTTCGAAATAATTTGACTACTATAATGGGTTAAAGACTGTCATAACTTACAATATACATTTACTCTTCGGGAAGGTAAGAATGATATCGTTGACCGATAACGCTATCTACGCCCTCCTGCTCGTAAAATTTGTTTTGCAGTCTTATAATGTATATCCTTTATTTGCAATGTTTTTTATAAATATTGCTATTATTTTAAACAGTTCTTAAACTAAAATTAATTTTATGTGAATTTATTTTTCAGTGCCACCATGGCGCCCTCACCGGACAGCTTTGTCCTTCGTCAACAACAACCACCTTTATCACCCTTGGACACTGATCTCCTTGCACTCAGTTTTAAATCTGTGGTGAGTATCTTTTTTCAAATATAAAGTTACAGCACACGTTAAATTTACAGTTATCTACCTAGTTAACCTTTTGTCTACTAGATACTTGTTAGGGGATTCTCACAAATATAAACAACGATGTTTTTATTGAAGAATTCTATATCTATCTATAATCCTTATAAAGTTTATATTATGCCCTCTTATTATACAGAAACTGTTTCAATTACAAACAATATTATTTCACTTCCATTTGTATAATTTTTTACTAACACATGAATGCGTAAAATTCCAGAGTTTGCAACGCTCCCACAATGAGTGCGAGTTCCCGGGATCAGTTGCCGGCTTCGGCCGGCGCCCTTCTCTCTACTGAAGAGTGCTTCATTCTGCTCGATGTTGACATCGAACAACTTTTAAACAACAACGATGGTACGTATCTTGCATGCCTCCGAGTTACTATCATGAGGTTTACCACATCTGAGTTTGTCATCAGGATCGTTAATGTAGCGCAAAGTCTCTTGTCCAGTAAGCTGTTTGCTGATATCCAGCCAATTAGTATTTGAAATTGGTTGGCCGAAAAGAACCTTACATTCTTTAAGCGCTATCTAGTTAGCACAATAACAGTAGTCTTCTTTGGGAAACCTTATTAACAGTACCTTACTAATTCAGTAAACTTTTTATGAAGCAATTCTAATTAAGCGATTATAAGATCAATGTTTGCGGACCCAACAGAATTGATATAATTGACTGCCGGTCAAAACCTTTTATTAACATAAATAATTACATATCTCATTACTGAAACAGTCGAAAATATTTAAAAACAATAATCATGCTTAAAACTGGCTTCAACTAGACAGCCGCGAACCAGTTCGAAAGTTAAAGTTTGTTGTCTTGTCTTACTGATAATAAAATCAACGAAAAATGAATAACCTTTTGTATCTTGTTTAAAGTTTACACAACAACAACCTACACGTGTCGATTTGTAATCGTTTTATTAAATCATTGAAGAAGAAAGTATCTATTTATCGTTAGGACACATATTAAGTTAATTATTACTTTTCAATTCTAGAAACTGTATTACAACTAAGAGTCGTTTTTATGATTTGGTGCTTGATTATAATGTACTGTAGCAGTAAAATCGTAAAACCATATATAAACTATGTATAATTGACGCGCAATTTGCAACACTAACATTTTTATCAACGAAATTGCCATGGTTATAAAGAGAAAACGGGAGCTAAAATAAAAACTATCAAAATATTTTCTTTATAAACTCATTACTGCATAGTTAAGAGCCGCTAGTCGATACCAGCGGCTGCGTTCTAATTCTAGTACTGGTCTATGAATAGTGTAGATTTTAAGAATTTACAGTTTACAGTTAAAAACCGCGTGAGCCGTAGCTATTTGTCTTCGTAGCTATTTGTATCAATATCGGAATTCTTGAACTTTCGAGTTAAAAGTTAAAATACATAGTTAAGGCATAGGATATAAATTAACTAATGTTATAGTAACTGGCTTAACTACATTGGTATGCATACACATGATTGTTATACATAGTTCGTAATATACGTAAGACCTGTTCACCATGCATTTACTAAGAAAAACAATATGCCAACAAATAATTGCAATTTTTCTATTAAGTCATGAAATAATGGTAGTTTACACCACTGTTTTTTACTGCATCATATGTATTTTTTTCATTTATTGAGAGAAACAGTATGCATTGTAAACTAGTAATAGCTTTAACTAGATAAAAATAATTGCATTAAGCTTTTGACGTCATTCTTGACGGTATTTAATGTTATTGAACTTCATTTCTTCGAAGAGGAAAATTGCAGCCATTCGTAATTGCTTGTTTACGTATTTTTAAAGTTGATTGTCCTTGTATGGTTTTCCTGTTCACAGATTAACGCATAGTGGTGTTCTGTCTTCAACTTTTGGTTTCACTTGCTACCTTCGTCTTTTGTTTCATTCTTATGTTTTTTTAACGGTGCCATTGGCAATTTTTCTTTTTCATTTCTTGTTAAGTGTTTTTTGATACAGTATTTTATTAATTGGTAACGTAAAAGGAAATTTAATTACCATAAAATGAGAGCATTTTAATGATAGTTAAAAGGAATGTATGTATTTTATTATAGAGGGTTGGTACAATGAAAAAATAAAATCGCTTGTGGCTCTGGCTCCTTTTCTATGCTCTCAAATGTAGCTTTGTTTTACCTTGTTTCTGGTGAATATGGTAAATTTATAGCCTTGATGGAATTGGCCTTAATAACAATACTATAGCCTTGTTCAATGTTGCCAGTGTCATTTATCTTGTACATTTTCTAATGAGAACTTTTATGAAGTTACTTTCAGTCTCCTTGTGACTACGTTCAGTGCAACTTGTCCGAAACTTCAACCAACATATAAAAATGAAGAGAAGTTGTTAATTTCCGCGTAAATGTAGTCGGGGTTGGCTTTTTCTTCCTTTTATTATTTCATAATTGAAGTTATTACTCCGTTGCACGCATTCGATGATTTTTGCCGCGGTCACAGGAAATTAAATGACTTTCGATAAAATATTCAAATGAAAATGACATCTGAATCGTAATATAATATCGTATAATAGAACAAAATAATCAAAGGAGAAACGCATTGCCTGTCACTATTTCCTTTTTTGTTTGTTGATTGATGATGAATAGCTATTACTGTAGTATCCAATACATAATTAATTATGAAGTCATGACTACGTATTTATTAGATAGTTGCAACTTCAACAGAATATACCTTTAAAGGTTTTTATTTGCCTATTCACCAGAGATGAATGGTGTAGTGTAGAGGGTATTATGATCTTGACATCGGATGAATCTGAACGGCTTCGATGCACACCCTGTATTACACAACATTGACGATATTCACTTTTGATATATATTCGATATTTATTTACAATTGAGAAAACTATTTGGACAACTTTTTTTTTTATATACATATATAATATATTGTAGTATTTATGCAGTAGGTATAAGTATTAGTTTAGCAGTATATATTATATAGTATGTATGTCTATACAGTTTTATAAAATATTGTATTAATATATTTATTCTATATGTATTTATGTGTGTAGTATACATATTACAGAAGAATTTTTTTTTTCTTGAATTGTTTTCTGGCTTCCCATCAACCACTTCATTTCTCTGCACTTTCCTATGGTTAAGGCATTAAGTTCGCCATTCACTGATAAGTTTGTGAAGAAGAAATAAATAAATAAATATTCAAATATCAACTTTATTTAATGAACTGTAAGAATTATAGTTAGTATTACATAACATCCTGTTACTCTTAACCAAGTAGGGAAGGGGTTGGTGGAATGTAGCTTCTTTATTATTCTTTTATTTTTGTAAATTATAACATTTTGGTAGGTCAGCCATCCCTAACGTCTCCTCCCCTTCGGACTACGCCTGTTGTTATTTATGAGCAACTATATTTTTATTTGGTGATGAGGTCTTTCATAGAATTTATTAAAATAGACTTGTACATAGCAATAGTACTTAAATGCTTCTTTATCTATAGATATTGTGATAAACAGAGTATTATCGATAGATTGGATAGTATAGAAACGGAATCACGTAATAGTTCTACATACACTGACTTCCCTGACCTACAGTAAATCATTTCTATGAATAGATAGATTATTTCAAATCTGAATAGTTACTGTGAATAATATTTTCATAACATCACCTTTGTGATCTGCTTGTTTTGACGCGGAAACTAGGTACATATTATTAATTTGTATATTAAGAAGTTATGAACATTATTTTAAACGACTTTCTTGAAAATAAAAAGGCATATAGAATTTAATTGTATATAATACTAGTTTTTGTAGTCACATTCACTTGTTTCCCTTATGTTGTAGATACCATTTTGTATTATTTCTTTTAATTGTAAATATAATTGAGCAGTGTAATTGGTTTATTGTACCGTTCTATTCATATAAATAAATAAATAAAATAAAAATCAGATCTAATTCAGGATGTTGTCAACGTAATGTCGATTTAAAAAAAATACTGTACACTTTCTGGAAATAAATTGCATGATTTTTCTAGGTGTATGATTCGAATGCCATTAATTACATAATTTGCTTGCCTTACATAACGCCGTATTGCCTAAACAGCAGTTTTTAAGTATATTGAGTCACCGTTATGTACCTAGTAGTAGTAGTTATGTACAAGTTCTAGAACTTGTAATATGATTTTTTGCTTTCGTCATCATCAATTTGTTTCTATCCACTGCAGCACATAGGCTTCTCCAGTAGCATGTACATAGTACATTATATTTGGACTTTGAAAATATGAAGTTGAAAATATAAGGTTTGTATTTTTATCGTCAGATATTGATACACTCTTCCAAAATCGTACTGTTTCTTCTGCATACGTATGATGCTGTTCATTAGTAGATGCAAAATACCTCTTGATGATAAGTGGCAAAAAATAAGTAATTAAAAATTTACCAATGAGCTCTTAGTGTTTACCTATTGCAGGCCCCACCTACACGAGATTTGGGATTTATCATATTTTTTTTATCAATCACGCTATGTTATACTTGAACTTTGGTGGTAAGTTACATGTCACGTCTTCAATCTTGTTTTTATATAACGATAGTAACTATGTTGACTTGTATTCTCTCATAATACCAGTCAAAGAAAAAAAATAAACCCTGTTAGATTGAATATTTTAATAGCTAGGAAAGTAAAAAAAAAAATTCGTAAGCAATATCCATGAGGACAGCGTGTTCGTTCTGATCTTGTTTAGCCACTTAGTTCTCAAAATATAAAAGGAGGTTCACTAATATATATTATATATTTTAATATTCCTTTTTTGTAGATGGGGGAAAATCTTTAAAAGGCGCCTAGGTTTTAGGGGAAAAGACTAGAGAGTGTGGGGTTTTACCTCACTAAAACCTCCCCGGTGGCCACCATCCGTACTAGAAGGAGGCACCGGGTCCTCATAGTAGACTAGTCCCGCCCCACGGTGCAACGCCTGTTACAGCACCTACATATTTTGATATCCCTAGATCCTCAATAGATCGTACGATTTAAAGGTTTCAACGACATGTTATCACAATGCCTTTTCTTTCTTGACAAAGTTCGTTGAGTTTATATACCTAAAAAATAAGAAAAACAAAAGATATAATGATAAAATCTCTCGCATAGTGACAGAGTTATATAATATTATATAATGTAAATAATATAATATTATTATTATTCCATTTTCCCCTATTAGATGTCATTACATGGGTTGAGGACGGCCGTCAGGTTGTGGTTTTATAGTCAGCAAGAATCTGACATTCGCTTTCACCTCACCCAAGACGGAAGGAGACTTAAAAACTTATAAAATAACTTTTCTTTTATATTACTTCTCATGCAGTCTATCCATGTTTTCTTTAGTTGAATTCTTCTTTTCCACCAATTCATATTAAAATTCCAGATTAGCTTTGTGACATGTTTTTCATATATCTTCTCATATATACCATAGTCAAGTGCACGCGTACGCAAATCTAAGAGTAGTGTAATTACTCTGTATTTGCTCTCTAATATTGAAGACAGATCAGGTGAACCATCTCTTAATGTCGGCTCGTTTAAGCCCTATTCCATAAAACTATTCGTAAAATATTATTTTAGAATATTGAGATATAGAAAAGAAAGGCCAGGCGATAACAGAGTCCCTAAACAATGGTTTATGACAAACAAGCCTCGTCACGTAGCTGTTGGTGCGACAAGTTGAGCGTGTTGTACAGCACACACGTTTAATCGATGACCTTATTTGGCACTCTCTGATAATGTATGCTCTCGGTAATCTATTGAACTATTTTGTTCACTGAAGACGTCAGCATTTAACTGCCTTAAATGGAATTTTTGTACGGTCCGATAAGCATAATTGCTCTTATCAAGATTTATTTAAATAAATGTATTATATTTAGTTTAAAATATAGAATCAGTATTATTACTTACTCGTTTTAGATGAGTTTTTAAGTCTATTTTTTATCAATAGTTGTTAATTTCGGTTAAATTATTTAACTTCACGTAAATAGATAATGCGAAATAGCATCACTATTGATCCCTGAAATGACATAGCACGTTTTGGGTGTTTGAGATTAAAAGGATAATAAAATTATCGAGAGAATATCTTTCGTACGCTAAATCAGGGCGAAACAGAGCTTGCAATTTTGGTCTGCTTACTTTTACTTCGATCTAATGAAGGAGACAGGTAATCAGGATACAAATCTGTAATGTCCCAAGTATTTGGAAAATTGCCTCGAACAGATTCCGAGAAAACGGATTTGTCTGTACAATTTTTTCAATAGTTCAGATTTTGTGAAATATTGTGTACCATGAACTCTCACTCTCACGTTCATTCTGCTCCGTCAATCACGACTGGTATTCTAACTGTATCACTGTTAAATTTATAATTTTTTGCCAGTTCTAGAAAATTCGATCCACGTGGGAGTTTCTTAGCATTATATAATCGAATCTCCCTTTGGCGGCAGACGTAACATCCTGGAGTTTAGTCGCCTTATCATAATTCGCGCCATTGTTATCAGCATCCATAATTATCTCGCGTGACCGTTTGACACAACTCGTATAATTAATGTGGTTTATTCCTGACGCGACAGCACCCCCACGAACTCACCTCATGCACATTGATAATGCGTTAGGTCAATATGATTATTATAATATTCCAGTCACGGTAAAAATACATTTATTAGGTACTAGTTGTTACACGCGACTCGGTTCACGCCCTTTACGGCCCGCCATCAGGAAAACTGAAACTTTTTGTAAATTGATATGTCGCAGGGAAATGATGAAATCAGAGATTTTATAAGGTACAATCGCCTAATAAGGCCCACCTTATTTTAAACCTAGTATAATCTTGTAGATAAATAAAGTAGAGAAGAAACATATTGGAGGTTGTAATGTATTTATTTGACAATCAAGATATCGAAAAAAGTAATCATAACTGCATATTTTTTTAGTGGCCCGTCTCAAAAAGTGGGCCATCTTTGGCGAACATACCTTATATATTAATTACATGATTTGATTAATCACATCTCAATTCACCACTTATCTCAAGTTCCTAGAATTATGATCTTTATAGAAACAGCCAACATTTGAAATAAAATCATATAGACAACATTTGAATTTTCGACAAAAGGACCAATCTGTAGATACTTTATATTCTAAAGCATATAACAACAATGTCTTTTAGTGGTTAAAATCAACAACGTGTCTGAAGATTACTTGATATAAGTTTTTCATCATTATCATAACATCACGCCTTTTATCCCCGAAGGGGTAGGCAGAGGTGCACATTATGCCACTGTACAATGTAACACCCACTTTTCACTATTTATGTTATGAGTCCCATGTAATAGGGGGTGAGACTATTGCCATATACCGGTCCCAATTCCAGACTCCGTGCTACAACTGAGATTTTTTTAAAACTCAGTAATACTTTGCCCGACCCGGGAATCGAATCCGAGACCCCTTGCCCGGCAGTCGCACTTGCGACCACTCGGCCAACGAAGCAGTCATATAAGTTTTTATAATCTTAAAAAGTCCACAAACACTAAAGCAAACCTAAAGTTTAATAGTATAGAGCTCTGTTTCAACTGCCACTGTACTTGGTTTCATGGGTATAATAGTAAGCTTGATTCACGAGACGGCAGAAACTGTAGCACTTAGTACGATTTTTACAGACTTTATACCATAGAAAATTTCACCTTAATAATATAATGAATTTGCTTGCTTGTGTGAGTACAACATACTTGTAATGACATTAAAATAAATAAATATTGTCACTCTTAAAAGGGGTGTGTGTTCCTGACAAATACAATTTGGTAAATACGTGTTCAGTAATCACGTTACCAAAATCTAAAAAGTAATTATAAACATCTAATAAAATGAAAAACGTATTTGATTATATTAAATTTAATTAAGATATTTACAATAGACAATTAACATGTATGTATAAGTTGTCCTCTTGTTTGTTACCCTTGACGAAATAATAACTGTACATAGATAAAACGTGTATTTCCAAATGGTTCCAAGTCATCAACGAAAGGAACTTTACTGGTTACTATGTTAAGAGCGTGGGTGTGTCTTGATAATCACTTGCTTGGTTAGTGACTGTAGTTTGGGAGATAAGAACAACGTCATCAAGAATCTTCTAAAAACATATTTGTCTTGAGTTACTGGCCTCTGCTCATGTTTTCAATTGCATATCGCCTGTTTGCTAGTTACCATTATTTATCTTGTTTCCAATGAAAATATGTTTTGACATTTAATTTTATAACATGTTGTTTGTCTTGTACTGCATACGGAATATTACGGACTTAAGTCGTGGCTATTTTAGTATCACTTATATTATTTTCCTGTTAATAGATTTTCTTAAATTGTTTACTATAATGGGCTGTACTCATTTCATTATAAAACATAGTAAAAATACGAATTTATTTCATTTTGTTTTTAGTCAAGGATTGTAAGATTTAAGTTTTTACTCATGAACGATATCACTACCTATAACTAAAATTGAAAATGTTTCTTATGATATTAATCAGTAAGCGATCAGTGCATATGTATTTCGTTACATCACTGGTGAACGGTGTTTTTATGAAAGTTGACGAAAATGCAAAGCTTATAAGTAGAGCTTTAAGCTTAGTGCAGGTGTGTTGAACTTACTTAAACTTTAAGTATAGTGCATATCATACCTGCTTACATGAAAACAATAGCATAACTCATTAAAAGTTCAGGTTCTAAGCACATGTAAAGTAGAATTTCTTACGTACAATTTCTTTCTATTTCCTTTTTACAATGTTAAAACTTACTTTACAAACTAAAATATAGGCCTTTGATCTTCGCATATTTGTACTTTATTCATTTTATTCATAGGATTCCCCGTTTCCCAGCACGAGCGATAACTGGAGCCTGGACTTCTAGGCACATACATAAATGACAAGACAGACACAAACACTTTTTGGTCTATTAAAAACACTTTTTGTCTAATAATCTCAAGCTTTGATACAAGCTCTTATTGGTGGCGTTAGGCTCACGTGGTACACGAACGTATCTAATGATACATTTATGTAATCATGATAATCACAAAATTATGCTTTATAGGATTTGGTAACCAAACATAATTAAGCTTACTACCGAAAGCTTTAAGCTGAAATTTAATCATACCAAAACTTAATGCCTAATCTTTATCTTATTTGGATTAATAAGAGATTAACGATTCAATTATTAAGAAGGCATAACAATGATTAAAGTAATTTATCATTATCATCCTACTAAAATCATCAAAATTTGATTAATGGAAATAAAATTCGTAATGAATGAACGATCTAACTTGACCCTAATGTTATATCGGTACAATCTTAAAAAAATAAGACATAAAATGAACAATGTAAAGATGTTTTTATAATAACAGAAATTATTGTTATGACATTATCACTGGAGATTTAAAGCATCACGACATCTGGGCGTTACTTTGACGTAATATCGTGCGACAGATACCATTCATATATATATTGACGTCTTCTCTCTTCACGCTGTATTTTGTACATTACTTATCTAAGCTACTTACCTTGAAGCTTCTTCGACTTGTTCAGTCGCATTGCTCCAATAATTTTAATTAATTATTCGGGATTAAATCTGTTTGTTTTGTGTCTAATCTTAATCAATCTATTGTGCAAAAATGTGTTGTTATAAAAGTAACGGAATGTGTGACCTGTGTAGGGAATTCCAGTTGTCGCTGCTGCAAAGTAAGAAACTGCATTCATACGTGACATACATTTTTATATTTAAATTTTAATAAAAATAAATAAAAATTAAATAAGTGTGTTAAATAATTTACATAAAAATTAGATGTATGAAATATAATCTGTCTTAACAAAAAATGTTTTTTAATAAAATGATATCAAAATTAAAAGATAGTTAAATATAAACAATTTTAATTTAATTGCGCAATATTTTAACAATGAAACAAAATATTTTTTAAACTGAGAATAAACAATGACTTAATTTTTATTGATGCTCAGAAACTTTGTCGTTTCATTCTCATTTTTGTTCAATGTTCTATAACATGGTGTTTCTTTGTCGACAGATTTGCTTAAAACTTTCCCAAGCGCTGCACCGAAGACCGAGTACGATAGCTACCATCTTCACGACGACCTGTCGACCAGCTTGTACCCTCCGTCTCCCCCGGAGATCAAGCCCAGTCGCGCTGAGCTTGCCAACGATCTTCTGCAGCAGCTAGACAACAACTGCAAACAAGGTAATTCGTCATTTACTTTTTTATTTTCTATCCTGTCTAGTAGAGGTATTTACGTGGAGTAACTTAGATATCCAGCAATTATCAGCATCGATCAGATGAACTGGACCTCACAGTTCACCAAGGTTTCAAAGTCAAAGTCAAAATCATTTATTTTAATTAGACCAGGAAGGCTAAGCGAAGTGAAGCTATTTGCTCATTCCAAGGTGTTTAAATAAACTATGGAATTAGCACGGAATGTTGTGGTTAATGCTCTAAGCTATATAGCTTTTTAGCTGCTAAAAAAATATAAAATATTTTATGCTTTATAAAAGTATCCATATAATGTGGAAGACAGAAAAATATACCTAAATGCTGCTTTTGGGTAGCACGTCTAAACTTTGATGTAGTAGATATTCGGTTTAAGTTTTTAGACTTTCGATTACTTAGTATGTCTTGATTTTACCACTCAACGATTTATCGGGTTTTATTTGCGTCAGTAACACTATATTTCAGAGCATTGATGATTATGATTATAAGCGTAAACGGAAGATAAAGCTTTTTACAAATATGCGTCGCATCATTTGTGACGTTCTCAAAAGTCTCATTTCGATTTATTTATTTCTTATTCTATAAAGCTTGATTCTTATTTCTGTTGGAGTTTCAGTATTTTTAAAGGTACTTGAAATCTTAAAGGAGGTTTAACAGTTACCCCGAGCGTTGTCCGTATTGATGACGTAGTAGGAATCATCCCTATTACGCTATCATCAACATCCATCTTTTTCCTATCTTCTCTGAAATCACTGTATGGTATTATGGAGTTCCTTATTATTCTTGTATGTGTATCTTTTATATAAATCTTTATAACTGGTCATGTGTTAAGTTTTGTAATGTCATCTCGTGTTGTAAGGTCATTTATAAGTCCAATGTCTAAAATGATAACGATATGGTCTTGTATAATTTGCTTTATTCTTTACAATAATTGGCACATTTTGAAATCTGTTTGGGTAGTGTTTCGAGTGCATTTTCTGTGGTCTATGAAGTGGGTTGAAATGTCAATTTAAGGTATGTTGAAGTACGATTATGGCTTGAGAGTTGGGGTTAAAAGGCTTTAAAACTATCTTTAAAATTGCTAAGTGATCGTAATTGGGATGACGTAGTAAAACAAGCCTACAGGGCACCAACAAAAGGCGTATCTAGTTAATGTATGGGGTACTAAAGTGAGATTTAAAATATTATCCGTCTTAGTCACTGTACATTAATTCAGGGATTTCCAATCATGTTCGAATTTAACAGATAAATTGTCGACAAATTGACAGTCATTTCACCGTTTGTGCGTAATCATCTCACATGTGTCAGTGTGTCTATAATTACACATGTTATCAATCTTTATTTTGTTTTACATGACATATGTATGTAGGTGGTACTATAGTTTAACCAATATTTAGCTGTTAGACAGCGGTAAATAGTCTGATACAATATCTTGTTTGACGAATTTAGGTACATAATAAATAGTTACTGTTAAAATTTGGAATATTTATGTGTCAACAATGAATGTTTGACTAACCTCAAAATAGCAATCCTAAGGTGTAAAAGTCTGCAAGATTTTGAGGTATCGTCACATGGTATTTAAAGCAAAATATCACCAACACCGAGTAGTATAGTTATGGGAGTCTTTCCGAAATATCTTTGCTTTATCAATAACGGCTTTTCTACTTTTTTGCGTCTAAACATTTGAACGCATAATGATATGCACTTATGTACTCCTTTGTTATATCATATATAAAAAAAGGAGTGAAAACCAAGGCCTTACATTAGATGTAATGTCCGTAGTACGTGCTCTATATTTTCAGTTAAATACAACTCCATTTTTTGGTAAAGGCGTTAGTTATTTATTTATGGTTCTCTCACCACAATTATGTTGAACACACCTCTAGGCTGTTCTATGAGTTTACCTTTCTTTTATTGCATCATTTTTGCCCAAGGCTAATTATATTTAACTGTACATATTATGATTATTTTGGGTGCTATCAAAATAAATATTTTATGTAAATTGTGAATTGATACCCTTGCACGATATCACGAAGTGACACACCTCTAACCACTACCTAGCACTACACGTTTGCGTGATTCTCGCTGTCTTTATCAACTATAGCTAATGAGCAATTAAAGCAGATAATGCAGTGACGAGTTCAAATGTGGCAGCCAATCGGATAAATCATGGCTTACCGTAACATTTCCTAATTGGTTGTTGCGAATTGGAGTTCAATAATAATGTAGCACAAATGTATACGATTGGTTATTACGCTTTCTGGTTCTTAAGCCAATAGTATCGAATACAATCCTACATATTTGAAGCGTGATTGGCTAGCATAAGCTTCCTGGGTTAGTAAGATCTCATTATTCATTCATTTTCGACGATATATAGTAAGCAAGTGGTCCCAAACCTTAATAATACCAAACAAAGGGGTCTTTTGATAATCCCAAGTCGTTGACATTTTCGATGTATGTTCAGCAGTAGCAAGAAAGAAGGTTGACATCGTTCCCGGTATATGGAATTGCTGTATGGTTTATCCCTCATATTACTTAGGACTACCCGTAGATATATTTTAATATATCTACGGGTAGTCCTACCTACTACTAACCTACTAACTAACCTACCTACTACTAAGTCTACTACCTAAGTCTACCTTAAATTTTAAGGATAAACCATACACGTGACGAAACGTGGTTTTATAATAATAATTAAAATAACTTCCCGGGACAACTCCCGTTACGTTAAGTTTCCAACGTAACGGAGAAAAATAATTTAAGTTGAATAGTTACATAGTTAAAATGACCTACGGTATTATGTTTTTAATTCGATTTGTTTAGCAAATATAAGTTATCCATGTATAACCAAAAATATACTGCAGGATGGTCGATATTCCCGCACGACTTGTTTTAATCTTGAATGCGTAAGTTATCTGAAATTATTCAAATTATATTGTAACGGGAATAGTTTGTAGATACTGAGCACCTTAGGCCGACCGTCTTGAAGTATTCCAGTTATTCGCGTAGAAAGGCTCGACGGGTGCAGGTTGTTGCACTACTGATTGTGACACAAAGCCGAGGCCTCGATCAATTGTACAGACCAGCATTTACTCCTATCTACCTCATGTTGACGAAATTATGCGACTACAACTCAACAACCACTGTTCCTTAAACATGAGCTTGCATAGAGACAGAACTGTTATAGTGTTTCATTCATACATGTTGTAATACCTTAATCTGATAAGGTGATTAGAATTTTTTCGTTAAAGTTGCATCAGCTTGTTTTCATATAAATATTCAATGTAAGCTATCAGGTAACTCAATACAGTCAGTGTACTTCAATGGCTAAGATGTGGTGTCGCGTTTATCGAAATTTACAAAAATTCGAACCGGTTGATGTGGTATTAGATTCATGCATTTATATTGATTAGGCAGCGAAGTGAAACTGTGGACGCTGCGTTGCACATTAACTCGTCGAGTACCGGTTTTATAGACACAATTAAAGAACAATAGGTCGCGGTCACCGGTGACCGCTTGGTGTTTGACAGTTTAATGTAGTATTTATATGTTAGTGAGCCGAGAGTAGTGGGGAAAGGCGCGGGTTTGGTGGCCAGGCGTGCGGGTGTGCGCGCGCGCTCAGTGCCAAGTTGTGTCCCGCCGCGTTTGCTGGTGACCGTTGCTTGTTTTATAACCCGTGACAATAAATTCGAGTGGAGAAGCACATTTCGAGCGCTCGCGCTCGCCTCTTAACATATGTCTGCCGCAATCTATGCGATTATTGGACGCCGTTAGAATGAAGTGCCATTATCGGTGCATCTGGAACAAAGAGATAGTTTTCAATTCACAAAAACTTGTTAAAAGACGTTAGATCAGGGTTTGCCCATTGAACCCCCTCCGACGACCTTTGCTGCATACCACGAGGATTCCAGTTTTTAGGATACCACTGCCCATATAATAGTTTTAAAGTTATCGTTAGAACTGTATTGTAGCAGTAAGGACATTAAAGGACATTCTTGTTTGGAATAGTAAAGCAGTTACTATAACAATTGGACTTCGTGATGGCTCTGGCTGATATGTATGTTGGTAGGTGGTTTCAGATTTTTTATTTGCATGAAGAGGTTGTTTGTTGTTATTGAGAGTCATTCTGGCGGAAAGGCGATCTCAAGGTTTGAATGCTCTAGTTTTGTTTTGTTATTTGTGTCTTTTGTGTTTATGGTCATTGAAACGTTAATGATTTTTATGTGGTAAGTTGGTACAAAGTATGTGTAATCAACGCTTAGCTTTAATGTTTATTCCAATTAAGTAACTGGACACATTAACGATTCGATTCGGACCGATAACTTAACTGCGCAACAAACTTGTTTGTTTGTATAACAACATGGAAACAGTTCAAGCAGCATTTTGCCGGAAATATTATGACGTACACACATAAAAAATATGCTGATGACGTCTACTAAGGAAGTCAGTATAGTATTTATTTAATGTAATTAAAATTGTATGTCGATAGTATATTCGTAACATAAAATATGACTACTTTATTTTATTGAAGCTTGTATAAAGTTGTAATTGTAGTCGACAACACATGTATATTTAGCAACTTATTTATTATTTATCATATCGGTATCCACGGATGGAATTCATGTACCTCGACGTAATATATCCATACTATAGGCAGCTTAGCTTGTGGAACAAATAATAAGTAACAGCGAGCTCTGATTTCAGCTACCAAATCCTGTTGTTTTGTCCTGTTGCTCTTATGAGCGCCTATTTAGATTTTGGTTACCTTTTTTATGACGGGGGGAAACCTTCAAAAGTCGCCTAAGCTTTTTGGAGAAAAACTAGGGAATATGGACTACTAAAGCCACCCCGGTGGTCACCATCAGCACTAATAGGGGGCATAGGGATTTCTAATAGACCTCTCCGGAGCCTCAGCTTGGGTGGCCTAGCGTAACAAATCCGCACTTTGTCTTATTATGCGAATCCTTGATGAAGAGTTTGCATCCAAGAATAGCTGTTCACTGATAACTTGGGCCACGTTTAACTGATAAACCAGTTTGCGTACAAGACGGCCTCGCTTGCTCGCTCGCCCAATAATTAAAGCGACATATTGACCACTTGTTTCCATTCTTATACATTGATACAGATATGACCTACCAATACACCTTTCCAATGTGGGATAAATAGTTATCTTGGCACGTATTGTAAACGTGACAAAATATAGTTTACTTTTTACTTTTATTGCCTTGGTCCGATTAATTGTCATTGCTTTTTATTGAATGCGTCCTACTTGTTGTTTATTCGCGGGGAACAGTAATGAAACTGAAACCAAATGTAAACGTAAATAAAAACAAAAAAAAGACTACCGTTAAAATAACGTAGAGTAAAAAACTTGTTTGCTATATCTACGGTTATAAGGAGCTTGATACGAGACGAGTTTATTATAACAAGGCCGAATCGGTTGTTTAGATTTTTTCGACATGGAACATTCCTACCATTTCCTTAGCTGGTAGCGGGTTTGATCATAAACAAGTTTAAAATAAGATGTTGACATCGGCGTAGCGAACTTATCAAGTGATTTGCTATCGAGGGCGAGGAGTCACCGAACTCTGATTGTGCAGGTTTATCTGAGGTCGAGGTGTTGCAGGCGTCCGAGCTGCTGCCTAGATATTAGTCGCTAACTTAATGCTCCTATAATAGACTGGTAAACACAATACGATACTTTGAATTACATTCTAAATTGATGTTCTTTTCTCCTCTTAAGGTCTGAGACACCAATCTGTACAATTACATCCAATTGATTGTTGATTGTGGTGCCGGGACGGCCATCTCTTGGTTGTTGCGCTTAAATTCTTTATAAATACTTGTCTACTATATATTTTTAATGACTAAATCAATTTGGACTGGTATCATCATTTTATTCGAGTTTCGAGAAGAAAAAACAATCAAAATCGTAATAATTATGTTGCCACTGATGACTTTGATAGTGCAATAAGTTTCTAAATACATATCTTTCTGTCTCGTATTATAGTTAACTGCCTAAAGTAAGTCGATGATGATACCTTTGTTCTATAATTGGTATTTAATAAGGTATAAATAGAGTAATTAATGATTGAACAATGGCCCGTCACTTGTTCGGACACTGCGTGCAACATGAGATAGTGTTTATTTAGTTCAGGGTAGATATCTACTTTACATCTTTACTTACGTTGTAGTCCCAATACTAATGCTTATGACGTGAATAATTTATTGTTCTGCATAATTTGTATCGTTAACGGAATTTTCCTAACTAAGCTATCTTGATATTGTATGTATATTGGATATAATGTACATATATGTACACGATCTATACTCGGAATTTTAATTCGATTCCAGATTTGACAATTTCAGTGTGGCAACGTTATGACAAGTACTAAATAGTGACGTTGCGAAATTATTCGATATGGAAATGCAATATTTCTGGATCGATTCTTCTCGTTTATAATAATTATCTGGTGAACTAAGTATATCAGGAAATTAAATATTTCTGAACCGATAATTTAGTTTTGACGATTAATTAACGATCTGAGACGTTTCTTTTATAATTGTGTGTGAAATAAATAAAAAAATGTAATCATGAAGGAACATGACAAATAAAACAGATAGATGTATAATGGTAATAAGTTATTTTATAAATTGTCGCCGTCATCGCTATCGCTATCCTGTCACTTTCTGTTACATCTATATATATAAAAGAAAGTCGTGTTAGTTACACTATTTATAACTCAAGAACGACTAAATCGATTTAGATGAAAATTGATGGGGATGTAGTTTAGAACCAGGTGACGGACATAGGATACTTTTTACCTAATTTTTTTTTCCTTTTACCGAAAATCACGAACGGGAACGGGGGAAAATGGGATTGCGCGTACGAAGTCGCGGGCAGAAGCTAGTTTATTATAAAACACACACACTGATTGTTTATCGATTTTTGTGTGCATCACTACACTATTATATGTGGTATCATTATTTCACAAAATGACAGTAGCTATTGTCAAATCTGGAATCTAATTAAAATTCTGACTATAGTTAACGATTCTATTGTCATTTAAGTAATTAATAGAACTCGCAAATATATGTCTTGTTTTTTGTCTTTACAGAGAACATCTTCTCCAACTGGCTAGAAGAGAAATCGGAGCTCCCCATTTTTGAAAATATCTCGCAAGTTCCGGAGCGCGTAGAGCCACCAATTCCCGTGTCTCTGCCCATTGCGCCGACTTACTCCGCGCCCCAGCCTACTGAAGATCTCCTTAGGGAATTCGAAACGGTATATGGCGCCGTTGAGCTGACTCATTTGACTCCACCTCAGAGTCCCCCCGGTCCTGCGACTCAACTGCTGCTAAGTTACGCCCAACAAGCACAATGCACTACGTTTGCCCCCGCATTGCCCCTCGTGCCACCACAAGAACAGTGGCCGGTGATGCCCGCGCCCGTGCAGGTGCCGGACTCTGTGCCGCACTACGACTGCGGGTACGAGGACGTCGAGGAGCTCGTCCGTCACCGCGCCGCTCAGCTCGCCTCCCCGCAACACTCGGGCGGCAGCGCTAGCGTTTCTCCTCAATCGTCGCCGCCATCATCACCGCGGTCTTCCTGCACCGACGATGAGTGGTCGTCTTCATCCCGGCCCAAACCCTACTCGCGCCCGTCTGACGACCGTCGCTCCCGCAAGAAGGAGCAAAATAAAAACGCGGCGACGCGTTACCGTCAGAAGAAGAAGGCTGAAATTGAAGACCTTCTTAACGAAGAACAACAGATGCGTGAGCGGAACTCGAAACTCAGCGACAAATGTTCCGACTTGCAGCGCGAAATTCGTTACCTTAAAGGGTTAATGCGCGACCTTTACAAGGCCAAAGGCCTTATCAAATAAATCACCACCACCGCCACCTCCAGAGACCGGATTACTGTCAATATGGCGCGACAGAGAAGCGCGCATTGTGAACAAAGTTCAAAAAGAAGTTATGGGAGTTTCGCATAGTTTTGATGATAATTAATATTAAGATAATAATATAGATATTACTTGTATCTCATATAAGCAAATCTAAACTCATCGAGCAGAAAGAAACATTTATCATTAGAAGGGACACAAATAACACCATCAGAGAAACAGGTGGCGCCCTTTCTCATCTTTCATTATTTTACCATTTCATCTTAGAGGATAGGTCGCATTCATTGTAATGAAAATATGAATTCCATATTGTGTCTATGACACATAAATATTTTTGTATAACACCATATTTTAAATCAACTTCAATCACTTGCATTTTGTTGTCATCTTATGAATTTTTGATGTTTTATGTTTTCTTACAATAAATGGAATGCGACGGCGGATAAAACTGTTGTTTTATTTTGATTCACAAATTAGTACACTTGCTATAAATATTACGCAATTATTTTGTTAGAAGGGAACAAAACTGTTAGAGGAAGGTACCATAATCACTTGCAAGTTGCATAATAATGACTGACCTCAATACCGTACAATAGCATCAATTATACTAGTACTGCATTAATTATTATGAAGCATTAGAAACTTACAAACTTGGCAACTAACTATAAATGTGTAATTTATGGCTGGGAATTTTTAAAACTTCCTTGAAATTTTTAGTTTCAAGACCAAACTCATAATTACGATCAAAAATAAAATTAAACTAGTGTGAAAATCTTTCATTACATCTGAAAATTGATGTTCTTCAAATACTTTATTCTTGGAAAATGTACGGGAAATGCCTGTCTGATTATTCCACGTAGAAGAACACAATAACGACGGCTACAACCGTGTGTAACCAAATAAGGGATCGTACACAAAACTGCGATGCGATGTGATGCGACTTCGCAACGCAAAAAAATTGCGACGCGAATTGCTGCGACGCGATTTCGTGCGACAAGGTGTCTCCTTGGGTGACCTTTCCTTCGACGACCGTCAACCGTATCTACTAAACGTATTTTAAATTGAAAACTAGGTTGTAAAAAGAAAGTGTGCACTTCTGTTATTGCTTAGGAGATACAGAAAAAAGATACAAAGAAGATATTGGGAAGATAACATTTTGATGCGTGATGCGAATCAATTCGGAATTTCTTGCGATGCGCAGAGGAAGCTCGTACATCTTTGCGATGCGATGTCGCATCGCAGTTTTGTGTATGAGCCCTAAGACCGAAACTGTCATTGACACTTAAAGGTACATACATTAATTTACAACAACATAGCATCACGCCTTTTAACGCCGAAGGGGTAGGCAGAGGTGCACATTACGGCACCTAATGCCACTACAATATAACACCCACTTGTCACTATTTATATTATGAGTCCCTTGTGATGGGGTGAGCCTAATGCGATATACCGGGCAGAATTCCAGACTCCGTGCAACTACTGAACATTTTTAACCGACTTCCAAAAAAGGAGGAGGTTCTCAATTCGACCTTATATATGCTTTTATTTAACTAATACTTTACCCGATCCGGAAATTAAACCCAAAATCCCTTGCCCGGCAGTTACACTTGCGATCACTCGGCTAACGAAGAGGTCAACGTTAATTTACAACGTATGAATTCGTAAAACACTAACAGTGCAGTCGTAAGAGAATCTAATTTTTGGGTCATTAATTCTGGCTCCAAAAATAACTGATACTCAGAGACATTTAATGATTAAGTACTCAAACTATTCCTTTGTAACGATTTTGTTCCGAAATCTTGCGAAGGACTGGGTTAAGTAGCCATGAAATGACTGAGTAAGGCGGTTAATTCATTTTTGTCAAAATCAATTAACACCATGTCATTGGTTTTAAAAGATCCTCGAGTCTTTCCAGCATCGCGTCGTCCAATTCATATTGCAATGAGTAGGGCACTTAGGAAAGACCTGAGACTACCTCGCTGGAGTCGTGATCAAGTCTGTCTGCTGAGCAAAGAGTCTTGGGTGAGCTTTCCTGGTCGGGCTAAATGCTATTGCTTTTTTTTTCTGTAAACTCTGTAATAGCCTTTGCAACTATGTGTGGTAAGACATTCATGACCTCTATTACATTAAATTGGTGAAAAGGAAATGTTAACTACCTACGTTGTCTATAGAATATAAAATTTCAGGGAATAACATTCGTTCTATATGTCTATATAACTAAGCAGTACAACTAATCCAAGAACTTTATAAAATAATTTTCTAAAATAGCAAAACCATGTCCGGGAGGTGTCCCAGTTTTTAATATTCGAATTAAGCGCTGAAAGATACCGTTAAAGTTATTATGGAGACGGAACGCGAAAGTTCATTTACAAGTTTAAAAAAATAATGAAATTAGTAAAGAAAACTGTACATACAATATCATGCTTTTCAAACACATAATAATGGATATTAGTTCAATCTCAATGTCAAATATCAGGCAGTAGGTAGTTGTAAAAAATGTAGATATAATTTTTCTGTAAAGGTTATGTTTAGAAATGCGATGCTCGACCACTGGGCGACCTCTAGTCATAATCTAATCAGTAATCAATATGATAATTTAATAGCGTATAAACAAAGCAACGTATTGCTGTTTATATCACATAGATAGCCTTCCTATTATTACGTCAATAACTTACCTATAGCTACTTTATTAAAAAAATATATATTGTAAAGTTTAATTTCTTAAAGTTTCTTAAAAACTTTTGAATAGGTAGGTAAATTGGCCTTAGGAATTATTTAAGATTTCGATAAGTATCTACCTAAACCATCTGTTATTCTACTTTAAGATTTCACTGGCGAATATTTATTTTTCAAAGCTCTACCCACGTTCATAAATTTTTTGTTTTGACTAAATGTAAATAAATAGTTAGTTAATCACCTGATTAATTACTATCTAATTAAAAAATACGTGATCCAAGCTGTTTAAGCTGGAAAACACAAGTATTTAGTGTAGAACTATCGCAATATGTCGAGGTTAAATTGATATGATCATAAATTGTATTAAAAAACACTTGTCAACTGTTCGATAAATAAGCATCCGACTGTTATCGTGGTATATTCCCGACAAAGGAAAAACTTTTCCAATAATAGATAAAGGTTCAAAGTAGGTCGTAAGTATGCATGTATCGTACTTGCTAATGGCGTGAGGACGGGCTAAGACATACACTAGTTAATTGGAGGGGTGTCTGTTCAAATAGGTAAGTATAACCTTCTTTATATTATTGCATTTTATTTGGAGAAAACAATGGAACTGAATATTGAATGTTTTTTAATGAAATGGATCCCTAGCTACCTATACCTACCTTTTAAAATGGTTTAAAATAAATGTTTGAAAGGGAAATGGTAGTTGTATTTACCAAATTTTCATAACATTACAATTCGTTTGCCCGAAGAAATGTGATTGGATTGTCTCTACACTTGCGACCAAGGTTTCGACTGTCGGGCATGGGACACTATTCTCGGGTTACACAGAGAATAAAAATTCTAAAAATTTCATTTGCAGGTAGTTATTCTTAATAGGTTTAAATTTAAAGTATTATAGAATGGGTCCAAAATAAATTAGCGACATATAACTGCTACTCTAATCACAGGTTTAAGCTACGTCGGTCGCGGTCGTAAGAGAAATGTCATCGAGATTATCGAAATGGAAGTACCTATCTTGAGATGAACATGAAGGTGTTACCAGCGGTACATTAATTCCATTTATTGCAGTTTGAATTACAGCAGAAAAGAGGAGAATTAGGTATACGGTAATGTAACTATATGATATAAAAATCCGCTAAAGTTACATAAGTAGTTTTGAAGTGCTCGCTCATAGGAAGTAAATGTTAAGATAGTTAGGTAGGTAAGGTAATGTAGATTTCATACGAAGGACAATGTTGATAATAAGATAACGCATTTTATTACTTACCACCGAAGGTCCCATCTATCTACATACAATTTACTGATATTGATTCAAGTATTTTCTCAAAAATGAAACAAATCATTATGCTTTGTGAATCACGTAAGGAAGTATCACTTCTCGCGTGACCATCCGGTCAAGTCAATGACTGATCCGTTGGACAATGGGTCGTCCAAATAAACAAGAAACACCTAAATAAATTGTATGTTGTAAGTTGCTTATCAATCATGAACTATTTTGGAAGTGCTGTAACATACAAGAGTATTACATCAGGCCGTTGATAGGGCGTAGATCGAGTAACTTTATATCACAAAGAATCTGTCATTTTTGGCAGTGTCGATTGTCACGATCCATCTATTCACTTATTGTACTTGTTTTGCTTACAGACAGGTAACTCATTTCTTTAGTATTTGACAATGAAAAAAGCTTCAGAATGTTTTGATATTGATCTTTATTTATATTTAAAACGTACCTAGTCTGTGAAGTAGATCCAAGAAAACAGTTTCTTCCTCATATGTCTACACAAAAATTTATAAGGAAAAAACACGCATTTATTTCGTCGTAAACCTTTTTTGTGTAAACAGGGGAGTACTGGCCTTTAACATTGGGTACCTATGTATCTAGGTATGTACATACTTTAGTTATATTTTGTTACGTAGGTAGATAAATACTAGATACTAGTTACTTTGAGTTATCTTGAAATCTAGTTCGTCTTGGTTCGTTTAAACTTAGTTGTTTCTTGTTAATTTTAGTTGCCGTTTAGTTGTCTTGGTATTTATTGAATTTGACCCGATGAATTTCGGATATTAGGAACAATAACACGGTGGCCAACCCGATTAGGTACTGTAGAGAATGTTGCGGTCGAGACCGGGCCAATAAGTAATACGTTTCTAGATATAACTTACTTCAGCAATGAACAATGGACCGTATTAATTGGAGGTTAAAGTGGAAACTAAGACAAACGTTTTCAAGGTATAATTAATAGATACGTTAGTAGTTTGTATTAAATTAAAGTTTGTGTAGAGAATTTGAGATAAATCAT